GTTCAGTGACAATAAGGTCTGTGTTTTATTTATGTTGTATCCCAACAATTAACATAGCACTTGACCAATAACCAACTCTGACAAGTATCTGCTAAACTGATTCAACATATTAATAAATGAGTAGTAATATTGTGACATTAGAATGACTGACAGGCTTGCCCTACCTCTACCATCTCCTATTAGTGCAAACCAAGACCCAACACCCAAGGTTTAACAGCTTGAGATGAGAAAATATCCTCTCTAAAATCTAAAGTGTACACAGATATGTGAAATGCATGCTACAACCTAACATATTATAATCTTTAAATTTAGGAGAGAAACACTAATCAGTGGGAGGCACTCTAGAGTGGAACAGGGCATCATGATTTGCCATATGTTGTTGAATATTTGTGGAAGCAGAAGCTTCTAGCTGAATGACCTGACCCAGTTCTGTCAGGCCATATTTGGCTTTATCCAAACTGTGTCTTGCCTTCCTTGTTCTTCGAGAAAGAAATGTCTGCAGGCTTCTGAATCACTTACATAAAAATAGAGCTTACTGGGATATTAAAAATAGCTATGTGGAAGGTTCTTCTATTTTTTGTTTTTAATTTTAATCTCCTTTGAATAGGCAGTATATTTATATAGTTCAAAAATTAAATGTATAGAAATGGATATGGAGAATTTTCCTTCTAATTATAATTTTACTTCTTATTCTCCATACTACTAAAAACTAGTCCTACTAGTACTGTCCAATATTTTATGCATGTGAGAATATATTTTTATACTTATTCCATTTACCTCTTCTATTGCACAAAAGATAGTATGCATATAGCGTACATATATAATCTCATGGGGGTCTATATCAATACACAAAGAGCTTCCTTTTCTCTTTTTGTCTACAGTTGCAATGCATTCTAATGTGTAAAGCATCTAGATTTCATTTAACCTATTTCAATGGTATATAAACTATTTCCTATGTTTTACTATTATTAACACAATGATGTAATGAATAATCTTGTATTATCCCATTCTTTGACACTATAAAAAATACCTTAGATAGCCAGGTGTCAGTGGCTCACACCTTTAATCCTAGCTAGTCAAGAGGCTGAGATCTGAGGATCAAGTTTCAAAGCTAGCCAGCCATTAGATTTTTATCTCTAATTAACCACTAAAAAGCTGGAAGTAGAGCTGTGGCTCAAGTGGTAGAGTGCCAGCCTTGTGCACAAGAGCTCAAGGATAGTGTCCAGGCTTTAAATTCAAACCCCAAGACTGCATCCCCCACAAAATCTGAGATAAACAACTTATAAGGAAAAATGGTTAGTTTAGACCACACGTTTGGTTTCAATCCATGACTGCTTGGTCCTGTTGATTTGGGGCAAGGCAACATATCATGGCTGGAGCGTGTGTTGGAGTAAGACATGTCTCATGGCCAAGGAGCAAAAGAGGGAAAAAGGAATCAGAATCATGTAATTGCCTTTAAGGGTATGCCCCCAATGATGCAAAGACCCTTCCTTAAGCCTTACCTGTTAAAGGCTCCACCACCTCCCAAGAGTGCCACCTTGGTGATCAAGTTGTTTTGTTTTGCCAGTCCTCGAGGCCTGGTCATTGTTTCTGAGCTTCTTTTGCACAAGACCAGCACTCTACCACTTGAGCCACAGCACGACTTCCAGCTTTTTCTGTTTATGTGGTACTGAGGAGTCAAATTCAGGGCTTCATGCATGCTAGGCAAGCTCTCTACCACTGAGCCACCTTCCCACCCATGGGATCAAGTTTTTAATACATGGACCAAAGGATACATTTTAAGACCCAAACTATAACAAATATCAAAAAAAATTGTAGACTAGTACAAATAAGGGTGGAGTGAGGGCTGGGAATGTGGCTTAGTGTCAGTGCTTGCCTAGTATGCATAAAGCTCTGGGTTCCATTCCTCAGTATCACATAAACAGAAAATTCTGGAAGTGGTGCTGTGGCTCAAGTGGTAGAGTGCTAGCCTTGAGAAAAAGAAACCCAGGGACAATGCTGAGGCCCTGATTTCAAGCCCAGGACTGGCCAAAAAAAGTGGGTGGGGTGAAGGATAAGAACGATCTGGCAACTTGAGCCACAGTGCCACTTCCGGCTGAGTAATCGAACCCAGGGCCTCATGCATGTAAAGCAAGAGCGAGCCACCTTCCCAGCTGCACCACTTCTGTTTTTCTAGTGGAGATCTTAAGAGTCTCATGGACTTTCCTGCCCAGGCTGGCTTTGAACCACACTGGTAACTCATGCCTGAATTCCACTTTTTCATCTATAAATGGTCATTCGACCTACCTTGAGGAGTTGTCTGACATGAAAAACACTGGATAGGCACACCATAAGCACACGTTCCTCTTAAGTCTCTGTGTGGGTTATTTTTTCATGGTTTTCTCTAAGCATTTGTCTCTGACCTATTCTCATTTCTTCTTCTCCTTTCAAAAAATGTCGAGGCATTAAAATAAATCTTATAAAATGGCTTAAACTGGATCATTTGGGTTCTACAAAATGGGCAATTTGATATGGTTCAACCTAATACAAAGCTTAAGCCGAGCTGAGCAAGTGGGTCCCTACCCCATGCACCTCTAGCTTCTCCAGGAACACGTTGTCACCCAAAGAGGGGGAAAAGGAGAGGTGTTGGCACTCTTGTGCACCAGCTCCCCTGGCAGAGTAGCCTGAATTGGGGTCAGAAGAGGTCTGTGAGTTCCATTTGTAAGCTTGCAGTGCTTTGCCTCCCTCCCTCCCCACTGTTCCCCTCCACTCCCAGATAGTGGGACCAGACTGACTGACTTTCAAGGTTCCCTGTAGTCTGGCCTCAACGTATTGGTGGAGTTTTATCTGTAGTCATGTGTCTCTGCACCCCCTTCGCCCAATTATTTATAATTTCAACAAATACTGAGAATTTTTTTTAACTTCAATGTCCATGCAAGTGCTGCCTTAAATTCTTCTCCCTTTTCTCCACTAGATGTATTTCTTTAACAATCAGCTTACTGAGAGCCCTCTTCACCATCCCAGCCCTTACCTTCCAGCGGGGAGGGGGTCAGATACTGAGTGTGCACTGTGAACTCTTAGCACTCCCTGATAAGGTACTTCACGTTCTATACAATGTTTTGAATGTTTTGCGGACCCTACACTAGCCTTAGGGACTAATCCAAGGCAGGATTGCTTTTTCCCTGTTTATACTCAGTGCCTACTCCACTACATGGCACTCACTAGTCAATAATCACCTTTCCATGTGAAAGATAATTTCACATTAAATAATAGTTCAGCAGAAATCTCAGCTCCTCTAATGACCAAGTGGCTTTAAGCAAATTACTGAAATTTAGTCTCCTCTTCTTTGAAATAAGAATGTACAAATTGGGGCTGGGAAGGTGGCTCAGTGGTAGAGCGCTTGCCTTGCATGCCTGAGGCCCTGAGTTCGATTCCTCAGCACCACATAAGCAAAAAGAAAAAAGCCGTAAGTGGAACTGTGGCTCAAATGGTAGAGCGCTAACCTTGAGCTGAAGAGCTGAGGGACAGTGCCCAGGCCCAGAGTTCAGGCCCCAATGTACAAATTACCTTCTCAAATACCCATAAGGATTAAGCAATATAATTCATCCAGGTTGCTTCAGTTCAATGATAAATAGTATGGGCTCAATAAAGAGCAATCAGGGTTAAATTAGCTTCTATGTTCTGGTTCTTTGTAAGCTTTTAAGAGGAAGGATATGTCCTTTCAAGCCAGCAGTGTATTTCATTTTGAAGAAAAAAATTTGTACTTAAGAGCATAATCTTTCTAAATGTGTAAAAAATAGTTTACAAAATTGCCTAAGGTAAGAAAATCCTTGCTTTAAAATGTTTTATTACAATGCTCCAAGTAATATATTTTTATCTAATTTGTGTGTAATTCTTGGTACCACTGAGCTCAATGAGTGAGAAAAATACTGTATTATAATCTATTTTAAGAAGTATTCATAATAATATCTATACATCATTAATTAAACACAGGAAAATATGGAAGTGTAAGGTATATTTTAACAATTTCCTTTTAAAATGTAAAGAAAAAAAATTTTTTTTGGGTCCGGTCGTGGGGCTGGAACTCTGGGCCTGGGCGTTGTCCCTCAGCTCTTCAGCTCAAGGCTAGCACGCTACCACTTGAGCCATAGCACTACTTCCGGCTTTTTTTTTCTGCTTATGTAGTGCTGAGGAATCCAACCCAGGGCCTCATGCATGCAAGGCAAGCGCTCTACCACTAAGCCACCTTCCCAGCCCAATGAAGATTTTTTTTTTTGGTCAGTCATGGGGCTTGAACTCTGGGCCTGGACGCTGTCCCTCAGCTCTTCAGTTCAGGGCAAATGCTCTACCACTTGAGCAACAGCGCCACTTCCAAGAAAAATTTAAATTAAGTATTTCTACAAGATTGGTGTACTCTTACAAAAATGCCCTATGTATTCATATGCATAATCAGCTTAGATTTTAAAAAAGAAAAAGTAAATTACAAGAAAATATACTAATAAAAACTGAAAACATTCTGTTAGTATCTAGATCATACCATCTGTTATGACTTTTACATTGACTTGAGACCTTTGGTGTATTAGCATATTGTGCAACATTTGACATATTGTTTTTCTAAATCCTGTCAGCTTAGAAGATGGAATGTGATCTCAGCTATTAGGAAAAATAAAACTTGGTTGGTTTAATTAACTTGAATCATACTGCTCATATGGAATGAATACAAAAGTTAGCATTGGTAAATAATGAGCTACATTGTTGCCAATCTAATGCAAAATAAAATCAGACCCTTTCCCCTGCACAATATTCATACTACGTTATTCTAACATGGATTGGCTTAATGTTTTAACTATGGGGCCCTAAAGTCATCTATCTAAAAATGGCAAATTGTGCTACCTACTTTATTTCCATAATGATATATCTCCATCCCGATTCAATTCAATTAAATAAAAAAAACCCTCAGGATTTATGACAACATCTGAGATTGATAATGAAGATATGGAAGATAAAGATAGCAAATTTAGGAAGACTTCAAAGGCACAGTAGGATCTCTGGTAAATCTTGTGTATTCTAGGTTACATAACTGAAATTTGGCGTTTGTTTTAGAATAGTAACAATAACATCGAAGTGGCTTTTCATCGAGTAGCTTTTTTTTTTGAACTTAAAAAAATAGAAGCAATGGAATAACATCTTTGCTCTTGAATGCTTAACTGGATGGAGATAAGAGAACGAAGACGCTTCCTTATGGAAAGAGGTGGCGGAGTTTGGCATTGAGTTCTCTCTCCTTGCTTAAAAGAGCCAAGCTGTGCTTTTTGAAGGCTTCTGATTGCAGCCTGAGCTCATCATAGGCCTTCTGGATCCCATCCACCTGGCGCTGGAGTTCCCGGACTCTCAAGTTGCAGTCCACTGCAGCTGCCTCTTGCTCGAACCTCTCTTGGGCAAGTTTCCTGGCTGCAGCTGCGACCTCCAACTTCTCCTCAAGCTGGCGGATCTCTGCCTGCTTGTTCTGAAGCACCTTGCCCCTCTCCATGGACAGCTGCAGCAACTCCTCCTTCTCACGCGTGACTGCCTGCAGTCTGGTCTGCAGCTCCAGGCTCAAGCTGTTGTGCGTCTCCTGGGCCTTGGCCATCTGCGCCTCGGCCTGCTGGTGCTGCTGCTTGAGGCCCTGCAGCTGGTTGCGCAGCTGATCGGTCTCCTTGGCGTAGGCACACGCCTGCTGGCTCTGCAGCGCCCGCAGCTCCTTCTCTCGGGCCTGCGCCTGGCAGGCGTCCCACGCGTGTTTCTGTTTCAGGGTCTCCAGCTCCTTGGCCAGAGCCTCGCTCCTGGCTGTGAGCTGCAGGACTTTGGCTTCCTTGTCCTGCAGAGCCTGGCAGAAGAGGCTTTCGTTCTCCAGCTTCAGCTTCTCATTCTCCTCCCTCAGCTTGATGTTGTGGTTTTTGTGCTCATCTTTGAAGCGGATCATCAACTCGTGGTTGTCTGCCAGGGTCTTAAAGCGCTCCTCCAGCTTCCGGGCACGCTCTTTTTGGGTCTTCAGCTTCTCCGCCGCCTGCGCCCTCTTCTCCTCCAGCTCTGTGTTGAGCAGCTCCAGGATCTGACAGCGCTCCAGGGCTTCATCCGACCTCCGCTTGAGGATGCAGATGAGCTGGGACTGCTCTAGGATGCGGGAGTGGAGCATCGCCTTCTCGCCCTTCTCTTCCTCGGACAGTCCCCGGAGGTTCGCCAGGGCTTCCTTCAGCCCCTTCAGTTCTTTAAACTCCTCCTCCTCCTCCTCTTCCTGGATCTTCATCTCTTGATTTTGCTTTTCTCGGGGTCTTTCCGAGGGTGGGGTGTCCATCCTGCGAGTCTTCTCTTCCTGAGGCATCAGGCACTCTTCCTCCGCGCACACCAGATCACAGTTAGCCCTTTCCCCTCAGGTTTCCAAAGCCCGCAGGGCGTTGCTACGGACGCTTGGCACTGGCCAACTGCAGGATTTCCCAGCAAGGAGCCTTGTCATTGGTGGGCTGTCCATCAGAATGCTGTGGATGGGTGGGGCGGGGAGGTAGGGCGGGGGGAGCGCAGGGGTCCAGAGCCAATAAGATCTGGGTTTTCTTGCTTTTCTAACCAATCACAGCCCTCAGTTCAGGGTCAAGGTCCAGCCTCTACATGAGGGGTATGCCAACCTGACTCAACTTCCCTCTGGCACCTTGGGCGGAGGAAGATTTCTAGGAAGAGAAGACAAATCAGGCTTGTGTTGACCTCCTCCTCCTCTCTTTAGTTGTCACAAGAAAGATTAGGGTCTGTAAGAACACGGTTCCGCGAAATTTTGCAATCGATGAATACAGCCTAAAATTGTCTGGCAGGCTGCCCTCCTAGGATTTGACCTGGCTCACTTTTCATATTTAAATATTAAAGCAGCATACGTAATGAAATTTCCCCTGGCGTTGCCCTTATTTGGGAACAGATATTGTAGAAAATAGTCTGCATTCCTGTTTTTACCCATTAGCAAAATAAGTTGTTGTTTTTTTGAATGCACATTATAAATGTGAACAACATTAAAACAGAAAAAAATTCAAGACGCTTATATCAAGTTCAATTCCAGATGAATTCGTTAAATGTTAAGTGAAATAAAAGTATAAAGAATGAAACATAAAATGAAGGGAGGCATCAAAACTAGGCTAGAAAAGACTTTCTTAAGCTGAAGCATTATATAAGTAAAAGAAAAGGACTTAATTGAAAATCTATGGCATGTATGATTTTTTAAATTATGTCTTCTCTCAAGTCTTTGCAGCCTCTTCTCCTGGACTTGCCTGGCCTTTTGCTTCCAACAAATCCACCTGCAAAGATGCCCTACCAACCCAGCCTCTGGCCCTGTCTGTGGGTGATGCTCTTCCTGGAAACCTTGGACTTGTCACCCTGCCGTGGACAATTTACTCAGCTTTTTATTGTTAAACAATTATTTAATCTGTGAAGGCTTTTTGTGGTCCTATATCTAGAATTGTCCACTCACCTCTTCAATTGCATCCACTGTTGCCTATTTGTTATTTGTAGTGGGGATAGGAAAGCTTTTCTGTAATCACTGCTTGCCAGCATCACATAGGTTGTAAGATCACAAATGGGCAAGGACTATGCCCATTTGTTTCATTTTTGGAGATGAGACCAGTGCCTGGCACATTAGAAAGACTCAGACAAGTATGTATGAAATAAAAATCAATTTGAGGGCTGGAAGGTGGCTCAGTGGTAGAGTGCTTGCCTTGCATGCATGAGGCCCTGGGTTCGGTTCCTCAGCACCACATAAGCAGAAAAAGCCAGAAATGGTGCTGTAGCTCAAGTGGTAGAGTGTTAGCCTTGAGCTGAAGAGCTGAGGGACAACGCCCAGACCCAGAGTTCAAGCCCCACGACCAACAAGAAAAAACATTAAAAATTAAAAAAAATTATAAACATGTTAGATGAATAGTATCATATATACATATTAATAAAACATTAACATGCTAAATGAGAATTGAGTAATTACATTTACAAACAAGGGAATAGAAATGCCTCTGAATTGAACCCCAACAATAATCTACTAGTTGCAAATTAAAAGATCATTTCATTTATCAAATTAATTTAAAAATTCCATTTATTGCATTACTACCCAGGATTGGCAAGAGTACAGAGGAAGAGGCACTCTTCTGTGCTGTTGGCAAAAGTTAACAGTATATATTAAAAACTTTAAAACATTTTTATGTCTTTTGAACTATTAATTACCCTTAGAGGAAATCCTTGCTTGAGAAGTAATCTAAAAGGAAATATTTCATGCAAATCTCTTCATTGAAATATGATTTATAAGCATTAAAAAGCTAGGGGCACCGTGCAAGCCTGTAATCACAGCATTTGGGAGACAGAGGCAAAAGGATTTCGAGTTCAAAGTCTACCTGAGTTACACAGCAAATTTAAAGCTAGTCTGAGTCTTAATGTTAGACCCTTTCTCAATAAGTAACAATAAAACAAAGTAACAATAAAACAAAAATTAAAACAAAAAAACAATAAAAAAGGAAGAAAGAAAGAGAAAAGGGAGAGAGGGAGGATGGAAATAAACAAGAAAATAAAAAGCTTGAAATTTAAAAGTCCAAGAAAAGGAAATAAAATAAAAAATATGATATATTCATACAACAGAAAATTATGCAGTCATTGAGCATTATAATATTTATAGGTAATACTTAATAGCACAGAAAATATTCACATTGGAACAATAAATAAAAACAATATATAAAACCCAAAATTCAGAATAAATTTGACATTGTGAAACTTAAACATAGACAAAAATGTTGACTATTCCTGCAGTCATTATTTGTTGAGATCAGATGTATTATCTCCAAAGTCAAGTTGATGAAAAAAAATACTGTGTGTCATCATAGATATGGAATAGATTTTTAACTGCTTCAGATCTAATTGGGAACAAACATCAGAAAGAAGAGTTGTAGTTTCTCCTTAAGTCTAAATTATGAGGGCTTTGTTTCCTAATTTTTTTCCTACACAAAGAACATAAGGTTGAAAACTGGCAAATGTTCCTAAACTGAAATTTTTATAAATTATAGGCTACTGAACTTTTGTAAAAGTGAGCTCCAAAGACTTTTAAAACATAAATTTGCGGGGCTGGGAAGGTGGCTCAGTGGTAGAGCGCTTGCCTTGCATGCCTGAGGCCCTGGGTTCCATTCCTCAGCACCACATAAGCAAAAAGAAAAAAGCCGGAAGTGGCGCTGTGGCTCAAGTGGTAGAGCGCTAGCCTTGAGCTGAAGAGCTGAGGGACAGCGCCCAGGCCCAGAGTTCAGGCCCCACGACCGGACCAAAAAAAAAACAAAACATAAATTTGCTGTGATTTTTGAGTTCCTTTTCCACTTTTCCTTCAATCTCAAGTTTCATATGCTGAATTAGAACTTGTAAGATCAAGGAAGTGATCAGAAAGTTAGAATAGTCTTCTAATTTAGCGTGTATTGAAATTAGGTCTGTTAATATGGTTGTGTGATGGAATTAAATGAGTTTACAAAATGTATTGCTCTTTATCTTTTTTCCTCTTTCCCCAAATTTATATTTCTTAAAATCAGAATTTGTTTAAGTAATATCAAGTCAAAAGATTTATTATCAAGGCAAAGAACTTGAAAAATTCATTAATCATTCACTAAGTATTTGCAACATATGGTTCTAGGAACCCATGAACAATATAAAAATTATTGTTTTTCTAAGAACTTAGAGTGTAATAATCACTTTTCCCTCTTCTTTGCTCAGCCATCCCCTCCCCCCCCCCCTGCTCTTTGATCTTGAAAGTGTTCCATATATTCCCTTCTTAGAGGTCCAAGTCATAAAACTAGGCCAATGCTCTGCCTACCTAGTGTTGAATGTTGAGGCTTCTCCATCAACTGAGATGGAAAGGGGAGTATTAATCAATATTATTTTGATTAAAAAACAATTCAACTTGTCTAGGCAAATAAGATATTTATTATTATTTATTTATTTTGTCTCACAGGAAGAACACTGAAGGACCCAGAGAATCAAAATGAGAGTAACAGAAACTAGATAGCACTTCAAAAAGGTATTGCAGATGTTAAGCCATCAGGATTCTATTTCCTTGTCAATTTTCTTATCTTTTGCAGTCAGGATGATGCATGATTGTCTTCATACAAAGATGTAAGGAGTTGAATGCTTCTGCTGGGTTTATGTATGGCTATGGTCTGTGATAGTGCTTGGAGGTAGTATTTAGTGGAAAGAAATGGGGGCAAATGAATATTGAGGTTGTTAGTAAGAAAGTCGTTGGCTGGAAAGGGAAATAATAATGGGAGATGACTGACAGGAATTTTAAGTAGTGTCGGGCTGGGAAGGTGGCTCAGTGGTAGAGTGCTTGCTTTGCATGCCTGAGGCCCTGAGTTCGATTCCTCAGCACCACATAAGCAAAAAGAAAAAAGCCGGAAGTGGCGCTATGGCTCAAATGGTAGAGCGCTAGCCTTGAGCTGAAGAGCTGAGGGACAGTGCTCAGGCCCAGAGTTCAGAAGTAGTGTCTTCAACAGATTTTAAAAATAGCTCTCATAGAATAATAAAAGGCAAACTAAAAGCATAAAGGATTTTGGTTAGAGTGGAGTATTCAGAATTCAGCCTTGGGGCTTGAACTCAGGGCCTGGGCACTGTCCCTGAGATTCTGTTTGCGCAAGGCTAGCACTCTACCACTTGAGACACAGCCCCACTTCTGGCTTTTTCTGAGGAATTGAACCCAGGGAGGGCTTCATGCATGCTTAGGCAAGCAGTGTACCACCAAACCACATTCCCAGACATACTTTTATTTCTCCTTCCCCCTACCTCCTCCTCCTCCCCCTCCCCCTCCTCTCACTCCCCTTTCTCCCTCTCCTCTCCCTCTCCCTCTCCCTCCTCTCCCTCTCCCCCCTCTCCCTCTCCCTCTTCCTCCTCTCCCTCTCCCCTTCTTCTTCTTCTTCTTCTTCTTCTTCTTCTTCTTCTTCTTCTTCTCCTTCTCCTTCTCCTTCTCCTTCTCCTCCTCCTCCATCATTCTTATTATTTTGCCAGTCCTGGGGCTTGAACTCAGGGTCTGGGCGCTGTCTCTGAGCTTCTTTTGCTCAAGGCTAGCTCTCTACCACTTGAGCCACATTCCCAGCCCTTGAATTTACTTTTAGATTTAGAATTTAATTTAGGTGTAGAATAGTTCCCATCAGGTTCATGGCATATGTATGCTTGAAAAAGAATGGAGGTCACAGCCATTCAAACTGAAGCCAAGGAGTTACAAGCCAGGATACTTGATACAGTCTCTGTGCTGTGCCAGGTACCACCTATTGAAGAATGGGTATGATTAGTGGGAAGGACAGCTGAAGACCATAAGATGGAGTAAAGGAAATAATGATAGCAAATCTATTTACTAAAGGCTATTTGTCAAGCACAAACATTTGCACTCCTTAAGGATAACTTAGAAAATATCACTTCCATTTTTAAAAAGTAATGGAATTTTGAGTGATTTTTTTTTTTCACTTGAGACAGACACGTGAATTGCATGATTTCTCCACTGTCTGGTCATTACACAATACCATATTCTTCTATGAACTATTTCCCCACAGCCATACATTAGACTCATCTCAATTATGAGATCAGACCCTACCCAATTTTGGCCACAGTGGATGCTCCAAGAGACGCGGAGGACAAACAAGCCTGTCCAGCTTCCCCCAGGGATTTCTCAAGCAGAATATAGGCAAGAGAAGGGCTCTGGATGGGAGGCTGAGCTGTTGGAGTTGCGTGGAGTATTGTTCTCCATTCCAAGAGAAGGGAGACAGTAGCTAGGTTCCTGGTTCCAGGTTGTAAGTCTCCAAAGTAATCTAGGTTCCTGAAGTACTTCTTTAATTCCAATTCCATAGGCTAACCAGTTTCTGCCCCACCGGCCCTTTTATTGGCATGGGGGGGGGGGAGGCACTAGAGGGCGTATTCTTTGTTCCATTTCTGAAAACAAAACATCTGAAATTATAAAGCCTAAAAAGTATTATTATTCCAGTCTAGCTATTGCTAGGCCCTGAAAAAAATCCTTAAAATATGAACTTAAAACAAAAACAAAAAACAAAATACCAACACTTCCAGCCAGGCCCTGGTGGCTTATACTTGTAATCCTAGCTACTCAGGAGATTGAGATTTGAGGAATTTGGTTCAAAGACAGCCTGGGCAGGATGTTGTCAGACTCATATCTCCAATGAACTTCCAAAAATTCAGAAATGGAGCTGTGGCTCAAGTGGTAAAGCACTAGACTTGAGCAAAAAAACTCAGGCCCTGAGTTCAAGCCTCAGGACATACACACAGACACACACACAGACACACAGACACACACAGACACACACAGACACACACAGACACACACACACACACACACACACACACACACGAAAAGGCATCTAGTCTAATAGTCTAATAAAGTCTTAAGTTTCAGCAAGGTTTTTGCCTAAAAATTACCCTGGCCTTTTTAGGTCAGTAACCTAAATTCTCTAGAGTTCAGGTTGTTTGGACAAACTTTCTACTTATAGGTGAGATTAACTTTACAATTTGTATTTTCTTTTCCAGAAGACAATGTTGTGTGACATCCCCTTGGCCTTTGTGAGGCAGTTAGAATGCATTGTGCATAGATGCCCAAAGGATGAGTCTCTAGTCTCTCGAAGGTGAGACATCTGGATGGGAGGAAATGTGCAGTGCTGGCTGTAGGCAGGGGAGGGGGAGATGGACCTAGAACCAATTTCATTAGTGCGCCAGAGCTGGCTGGTTTCTTGGAGGTGAATAAATCGGTAAAAAAGCTGAAGAGGAATCACTTACTGTAACGTGGCACAAGCCAGAACAGGGCTGCTCTGCTGCTTCTATACCCCAGGGTAACCACAGAGGCCAAACTCATCTTTCCTTTACCCAAGGTCAGAGTAGAGCCAATACTCCCATTGAGTACTTAGGGAGACAATGGAGAGGTTAGTTGATTTACTAACAAATGGATCCAAGGCTCTACTATCTATTGAGAAAAAAGGCAAGCACTCTAGTAGTTACTTTAATGACATTTATTGGATATCTGCTTTAAGACTCTGTGCTTCCCTAAACCTATATTAAATCAGTGATATTTTACAAAGCAAACTAGGTGGGAGTAATATTTCATGTACTAAAATTCCCCAGAAGTCACTACAGAAAACTTTTTAAGAATAACTATTGCTGGGGATCAGTGGCTCATGCCTATAATCCTAGCTACTCAAGAGGTTGAGATCTGAGGATCATGGTTTAAAGCCAGCCCGGGCAGGAAAGTCTTTGAGACTCTTATCTCCAATTAACCACCAGAAAACTGGAGGTGGCACTGTGGCTTAAGTGATAGAGCATTTGCCTTGAGCTGAAGAAGAGCTCAGGAACAGCTCCCAGGCCCAGAGTTCAAGTCCCACGACTGACAAAAAAAAAAAAAAAGAATATCAAGCTTTAAGAAAAAAATTTAAATGTAATAAATTTTAATACATTCCTGTTTATCAACAACATGTATGTATGTGTGTGTATGTGGTTTGATACTAGCACTGTCCTATCACATTTTTTGCTCAAGGCTACTTGAGCCACAACCCCATTTCTGGCTTTTTTGCTGGTAAGAGATAATATTTTCATAGACATTCCTGGCTGGCTTCAAACCCCACTCCTCAGATCTCAGCCTCCTGAATAGCTAGGATTACAGGTGTGAGCCACCAGCACCAGCCTCTGCCAACAACTTTTAAAATAAAAATCCTGGGGCTGGGAAGGTGGCTCAGTGGTAGAGTGCTTGCCTTGCATGCATGAGGCCCTGGGTTCGATTCCCCAGCACCACATAAGCAAAAAGAAAAAAAAGCCGAAAGTGGCGCTGTGGCTCAAGTGGTAGAGCGCTAGCCTTGAGCTGAAGAGCTGAGGGACAGCGCCCAGGCCCAGAGTTCAGGCCCCACGACCGGACCCCCAAAAAAATCCTTCCCCACGACCAGACCCCCCAAAAAATCCTTCTTGTAACAATGTAGCCAAAACTTCTCACTCAGGGAGGTAACACCAAGAGTTACAGTAACACCTCTAAAGAAAACGGAGCCCAAACATTTAAAGTCTATAATCCTAACTACTTGGGAGGCAGAGATCGCAGGATTACAGTTGGAGGCCAGTTCCTACAGATGGATGGACAGATGGACAGACACTCTCTCTCTCTCTCTCTCTCTCTCATACACACACACACACACGTACACCCACACAAACACATTAGCAAGAATCCACCTCATCTACTAGCTGAGTGCAGTGGTACACACATTATCCTAGCAATATGAGGAAATACAAATAGGAAGATCACAGTATAGGCTTGCTTGGGCCTAAAGTAAGACTATATCTGAGAAATAGCCAAATAATCAACACAAAAAGAGCTGGAGGAAGGGCTCAGGTGATAAAAGGCCTGCCTAGCAAGCATAAGGATCTGAATTCAAATTTTAGTGTCACAAGGACAAAAAAAAGACTCTGGATAAGCATTAGCTCAAGAGAATTTATTAGCCTTGTTAGAGAATTTAGATTTTTAGCATTCCTAATGTAAAATATTTTATCTAAAATAAGACCGCAGGACTGAGTGTGGTGGCTCATGTCTGTAATCCCAACTACCCAGGAGGTATTGCAGTTCAAAGCCAGCCAAACAAAATTTTAGTGGGACCTCTCTTCATCTCAACCAAGAAGGTAGGTGTGGTGGCAAACATCTCTAATCACAACTACTGAGAAGTATAGAGAGGAGTTAAAGACAGAGGTTGGCCCCAGGAAAAATCACTAGACTCTTAACTGAAAAATAAATAGAAAGCAAAAAAGAAAAGAAAAGAAAAAAAGCTGGAGGTGTGGTATGGCTAAAATGGCAGAGTGCCTGCCAATAAGCTCCAAAATCCAAAATGTGTATCCAAACCTCAGTAACACACACACACACACACACACACACACACACACACACACACACACACACACAAAAATTCAATCAATAAATAAAGTAAAATACGAAGTCAGGCTAACTTGCCAATATTATTTAAGTAAGATGATAATTTATTCTAAGAGTTTTACAAAATACTTTATGAAATTATGTATCCACAGAAAGTACAGTAAAATTAAATGGTTTTTATCTTAATTAAAACTTTGTGAAGTATAGATGTGGCAACTTTTATGCTTCTTCATATAATAAACTTATGAGAAAAGCAATCATATATATGTAAGATAGTTCCATTTTGTATTTAACATACTTTATTGCAAAATGCAGGCTGAAGACTTACTTTTTAAAAAGAGAAGTAAACCAAAATAAGCCAAGAATTGAATTCCATTTATAGCCAGTGGGTGGCACCAAAGTACATTTGAGATGGAGGAAAAGTGCAAGTTCTCTTAAGACAGAAGTCTGCAGTCAGTCCAGTCTTGTTCTAACATAGACTTCAGTATTTATTAGTAATTACAGAGTAAACAGTTATTTGTGTGGTTTGCTGACATCACTGAAGTTCTCCTTCTCTGCCACTAACCCAGGACTGTGTTTCTGTTGCTTTTTTCTACAACTACTAATTTGGTAAATTCTGCAAGAATCTAATTGAGTCAGAGGCCTTCACTGTAATTCAAGATTGTGATGTGAAGCACATGCTGGCAAACTGGAACATTTTACTGGTTAAAAACATCTCCAAATTTAATAATTTGGGTTTAATAATTAGGTTTTTCTTTAAGCACCAACAATAATTCAGTATTCCTAGCTTGGTCAAATCTTTTTAATGCCTGAATCACAAATAAGTCACAGGTCTTTTCATTATTTAAGTTCCTTGGGCTTTTGTAGTCAAAGAAACACATGCAGACTGACTTTACTGAAGTGTGTAGTATTTCTTAGTGGCAGCAGATAGGAAGCAAGAATCTGTCAGAGACATCCAAGGTCAGCTTCCACCCATGTAGTCCTTTTCAGTGGAGCAGCTTGAGGGCTCTGGGCTTATTTGGAAATCTTGGCAATTAAAAGCATTCTGAGGGGCAATGTTGCTTCAATCCAAGAGTTGGGGGAATTTACCATCTTCTCCCAGAGAGCAACTTCCTCAGAAGTAGAATCCATCCAATCTACTTCTGTGCCATAGCTTTTTCCTAAAAAAAAAAAAAAAAAAAAGATCATCTGAGGGATCCCATTACCAAGATCATTCTCATAATTCCCAGAGCAATGATTTCTTTTCATGCAACTATTATGGCTAGCTGACAATTTGTCAGGGACAGAGAGATGTTGGGAGGATTCTGTACTAGGATCGAAGTAACATTAGCTGTCCCTCAGGAAGTGTATAAGACTCTGGTGCCTAGAGGATTCGTTTTCATATCCTGGCTCTGTCATTTAGTAGCTCTGTTAATTCAACTTCCTGGAATATCAGTTCTTTGGGGAATAATATTAGAAAGTATCATATCTGTTGTGCAGAATTAAACAATGTAAATAAAACATTTAATACAATTAACTACAATGTTCTATAGATGTTTATTATTATAGTTATCCAAAGTATATCTTTACCTTTGAAGAACCATAAATATTTTCTTTTATTTTGGTGTGTGTAGAGGATGGTAATATAGGTATATCTCCTTTCCTCACCAACAATAACTTAAGCGCTATAAGGACAGTCACTACATACTGTTAATTCTCCTATCCAGAGTCCTTGGAACACAGAATAGCATTCATTCACTAATCTATTCATTATACCTACTGGCTATCTGTTATCACTAGAACAAGGCAAGGCAACCAGAAATCTCTCCCTATCCCAGGAGAATTTGGCTCTTGGAGAATGAAACATGGATCAAATGTTACCTGTTCCAAAGCCAATCCGGAGACCTCCCAAAAACTGGTTTGTTAATTTGTAATGGTCCCAGACAGTGAGTTCAACACAGGCTTCCTTCAAATCTTCAGGCCTGAACCCATCATAGACCATGGTATGGTTGAAGACAGGGTTGGTGGTTTTCCCTACAGCTCTTGTCTTCTGGCGACTTTTCCTACTGGTATCAGGAAGGATGGTACTATAAAAAGAGACATGATTATGGGAACGTTTTGAGATGGTATAATAGTGAACATGCATATTTTCAGTATACTACAGCATTGGAAAGGAAGGAAGGAAGTGTGGAGAGAATAGTGCTGGTGGTGGTTTGGGGGAAGGCAGGGAAGAAGACAGACTTGCTTTCGATCTTCCTCTGCCACTTATAAGCTAAGCTTGCCAGGGACAGTTGCTCAACCTCTGCTTCCTCACCTACAGAGGAGAATGGATGACTTCAGAAGGTTGATATGGCAATTATTTAACACATGCACAACACAAAGTCCAAAGTCTGCATTTAGTAACTGATTCTATATGGTAGCAATTGCCTGATGATCTCTTTAAAAGTTAAAAGCACAGTGTATTCCTTTTTTTTTTTTTTTTTTTGGGTCTGGTCGTGGGGCCTGAACTCTGGGCCTGGGCGCTGTCCCTCAGTCAGCTCAAGGCTAGCACTCTACCACTTGAGCCACAGCGCCACTTCCGGCTTTTTTCTTTTTGCTTATGTGGTGCTGAGGAATCAAACCCAGGGCCTCATGTATGCAAGGCAAGCGCTCTACCACTGAGCCACCTTCCCAGCCCAGCACAGTGTATTCCTGATTACCTATGATAACCTAAGGAATTAGTGTTATAATATTTATAGCATAGAAAAATGTTATAAATACCTATCATCTAAGCTAGTGGCTAAGATGGTAGTTCCTTTCCATGTTTATAATAGGAAAAAGGTTGCCATTTAGAAACCTAAGCAAGCTATCTTAAGCTTTAACTATTAGTAGAGGTCTATTTATTGAATAATTTTCTAAGTATCTATAGACTGGTACAAATGGCCCACAATGTGTGGAACAAAGGAAAAGAATTCTGTTCCACAAAAAGTCCCGGTTCTACAAAGGAGCCAAGGAGTGTGCCATCTTATTTTTCAAAATTTGATCAACTCCTAATACTCTTTCCCTCACCTATCAATGTAGTGTGTTTGAGTTTGGGAACTCTACTTTCATTTGTACATCCTTCTCTAGCTTTACAATTTCAAAAATAAATAATGCTGCCAGGCACTGGTGGCTCATGCTATAATCTTAGCTACACAGGAGGCTGAGATCTAAGCCAGCCCAGGCAGTTAAGTCCATGAAACTGTTATCTCCAATTAATGGCCAAAAGTCAGAAATGGAGCTGTGGCTCAAGTGGTAGAACACTGCCTTGAGCAAAATAGCTCATGGATAGCATCCAGGCCCTGAGTTCAAGCCCCAGTACCCACACAGAAAAAAAAGGTAAATGTAGCCTTGGGAGTTGTTATTACAGATTCCTCTACTTGTTGTCTTCATTATTAAACTACAAATGATGAGTTTTAGTATCCCTGATATAGAGAACTAAACATAATGAGCAAAGGCTAGGGCTAAAGTAGAACTGAAGAGGGCTGAGTCATTAATGCTGTTACCATCTAACAAATGAATTTAGATGGCTTCCTCTTAGCAGTGGCAGCTCAAGGCACTCCTTTACCCAGATGTGGACTTCTCCAGTGCTATGAAGCTTTTTACCTATAACAGAATGAGAGAAAATGTTTACTTCTATTTCTCTTTTAATAATCTTGCATCCCAGGTTGTCATCTTAAATATATCGCAGTTTGCTAGTTAGGTACATGACAGCATTAAATTGATTAAACTTTACTCTTTTATCTTTTGAGGTACTAGAGTTTGAACTCAGAGCCTCATACTTGTTTAGATGGTACTCTACCACCTGACCCACATCTTCAGCCTGACTTTCTGTTGGTTATTTGGAGACAGAGTCTCAGATTTTTCTACCCAGAATGGCTTCAAACCACAATCCTTGGGATCTCAGCGTACTATAAGTAGCTAGGATGATAGGTGTGAGCCATCAGCACCCAGCTCATATTTGTTTTTAACCATATCATTCATAGTCTAGCTGTAATGAGCTCAAGATAGCTTTATAAAAATAATTTATAAACTGGGCATTGGTGATTTATGCCTGTCATCCTAGCTAATCAGGAGGCTGAGATCTGAAGAGTGCAGTTTGAAGACAGCCCAGGCAAAAGACTCCATGAGACTCTAATCTCCAATAAACCATCAAAAGCCAGAAGTAATGCTATAGCTCAAGTGTAGAGTACTAGCCCTGAACAAAAAAGGTAAGGGACAGTACCCACAGGCCCTGAGTTCAAGCCCCAGCACTCATTCATAAATAAATAAATACAATGAAAAATTCATATTGCTTCTGAGTTTTCCATTGTTCTTTTGAGGGTTTTTTTTCTTGGTTCAACAAGATCAGATCTGAGGGATGTGAATTATCCACTCATAGTTAATTCAAAACATCTGAATAAAATGTTAGTTTTTCAAGCATTAATCCTAATATAAGTCAGTACTAGTGGAAGGTATTTTAAACATATTTAAGTGTAAAGTAATCAATGTAGATACTGGCTAAAGTACTGCCATTTTTATTAACAATAGTGTTTTCATATGCATACAGACATACATACATTTTTTGTGCCAGTCCTAAGTCTAGAACTCAGGGCCTGGGCATGGTACCTAAGGAGCTATTTTTGCTCAACCACTTGAGCCACAGCTCCGCTTGTGGCTTTTTGGCATTTAATTGGAAATAAAGAATCTCATGGAATTTCCTGCTCAGACTGGCTTCGAACCACAATCCTTCCAGATCTCAGCTTCCTGAGTAGTTAGGATTACAGGCATAAGCTACTGGCATCAAGAGTGTTTACATATTTTATAGGGATATTGCATATACATATGATATTTACTATTGTGAATAGAGACTTACTATGAAGCTGATTTGGTCTGAAGTTGCTGTCTAGGCTGGATACACATAGAAAGAAGACTTCTATTATTTAACCAAACATGATTTAGTGAATGATTATGATGTGCTAACGTCTATGCTAGGAATGTCATTAAATATACAAGGAATACGAGAGTTTGGTGCTGGTGGCTTACACCTGTAATCCTAGCTATACTGAGACATGAAGATCATGGTTTGAAGCTAGCAAGAGACTCTTTCTCCACTTAACCATTAGAAAAGCTGGATTGGAGGCATAATTCAAGTGTCAGCCATGAGAGAGAGAAAAAGCCAAGCAAAACTATAAGGCCCTGAGTTTAATCTCCGATACTGGGACAAAAAATAATGGTAAGAAATGAAATGATCTATGCCCTTTGGAAGTGTTTATAGTTAGACATGAGAAATTCAAACAAAATCTATAAATACAAATCATGAAATCCAAGGTATTACTGTATGCTCTAGAAGATGGTATGGTAGGTGATGGCTAAGTTAGTCTTATGGATGAGAGAGGAGTTTAGCTAAAACATGGACAAGAGGGGGAAAGAAGAAGCCATTATAGGAAGGAAGGACTATATAAGTAAGAACACAGCCAAGGTGGAGCCATCACAATACACTATTCTCTAGCTCCCATGACCAAGTGATAGTGAGGAAAGTGAGAAACAGAGCTGGCATTTCTATGCATGGTAACCTTAAGTGATAGAATACAAATTATGTGCAAAAGACTCTGCCTTAAAGAAGATCCAAAGGGCTGGGAAGATGGCTCAGTAGTAGAGTGCTTGCCTTGCATGCATAATGCCATGGATTCCTCAGCATGACATAAGCAAAAAAAGCTGGAAGTGGCACTGTGGCTCAAGTGGTAGAGTGCTAGCCTTGAGCTGAAGAGCTGAGGGACAGTGCTCAGGCCCAGAGTTCAAGCCCCATGACCAAAAAAAAAAAAAAAAAAAAAGAAAGAAAGAAAGATAAAAAGAAAAAAGAAAGAAATTAGGATAAAGAAGATCCAGAAATCACAAGATGATGGTCTAGATGTAATTTGGCCTCAAGATATGCTTTCTTTGACCTCTATTTCTTTTAAATACTTAACTATTTTTTTTATCTTAGTTCAGCTACTTCCTTATTATCTATTACTTCCTTCATAGAGCTAACCTCTGTGTCTGGTTACTTAAATACTTGAGTTTGCAACCCCTAATTTCAGCCATAGCAGTCCCACAGATGGGTAAGAAGAATGCCTGAGAGTAGAGATGAGGCCTGGTGTTTTGCTCTATAGCTGGGCTGAACACATGAGGCCCCAATGTCAAGGATGTAATTAGCAATCTTGATACTAAAGCTTCACTTCCTAATAAGACTCTAAGAATGGAGTACAAGTGAAGTTCTAATTTCTTAGGACTTTCCCTGAATCCTAATTCCCATCTGTGAAAAAAAACAACCACCCCAGCTCCATTCTTACATCAGCACTGTCATGAGGGTCACATTCTGAACACAGGAAAGGCCCGCTACATGGCACAGATACATACTTTGCAGAAGGAGAGTAAAGTCAAAACCAGGACTGAAAAAAAATGATAATTTTCTCATAGAATCAGAGAGTAGAATGGTGGTTAAAAGGTTTGGGGTAAAGCCAAAGGGGAGTTGTTGTTTAATGGGCATAGCCCACTATTTAATGAGGTAAGAGAAAGTTCTGGAGGACACTATGGAACAATGTAAATATATTCATCATGACTGAGCTGTACACTTAAAATGGTTAAGTTGGGAAATTTAATATTATATTTTTTTTCATAAAAAATGAGAATTTTCTAGTTTACAACTATAATTGACTCATTTGGTCTGATAAAGAATTATTAACTTACTAAATCTGTCTAGAGCTTCATGTGTGAAAATATATAACAGGAACCTGATAGAATCTTTGGAGAGGAGAAAGATAGAGAATAGAAATCATTTCTTACCAGGGGTTGGCTCTGGAACATACTGGAGAGCTAGCTTCATTTCACCTCTGTTTTCTGCTTCAAGGGCAACTGGCGCTGTCTGAGGAATGAAGGACAATCCGCAGGTGAAGGACACAGATTTTACATCCTGTTTGTGGGCGCTACATTACAGGACCATATCTGCCTCATTTCTGGGACTAGGTATCATTTCAGTGCCCTGCATGAAAATGTCTTTGCACATTAGAGCTAGACTGTTGTCTCCATGACTAGAAAAACATCGTGCATCTTAGAAAACCTTTCAGGGAACCCAGAAAGCCTTGCATGGTCTTTCAGACTCAGGGATGCTCAAAAAATAATGGATTGTTTGAAGAGGGCAGAGGTAGCCTGAGGAGCTTTTATTTTTATTAAAACACACACATTAAGTGTTTGATCAACAAATAAAATATTTTATTTTCATTCCTTTTCTGTAAAAGAGTATAGTAGATGGTATGGGAATGTGTATGTGGGTAAGGGGGAGCCGATATTTTCACAGTTGTATTAACACAATAATTACAGATCAAATGCAAAGGAGTCTGTCAGAATAACAAAGACCAGCTTGACATAGTATGTCATGCATGTACTATCAGATACTCAGAAGTTGAAGATTGAGAGGATTAGCCAGCTGAGACAAAAAGTTATTGAGATCCCATCTCAACAAGTAAACCAGGTGTGGCACTAGACATGTGGTACTAGCTATGCAAATCCCTGACGTAAGTAGAAACATAAGTAGAGGATCACAGCCTGAGGCTACCCAAGGGGAAAAATGTGAGAGCCTATGTAAAAAAAAACCCCAAAACAAAAACCTGTAACCCCTCTGTATAGTATCTTTACAATAAAATTAAATTAAAAAAAACTACAGCAAAAATGGTTAGGACATTACTCAAATGGTAGCACAAATGGTAGCATGCTTGCCTAAAAAGTATAGGGCCCTAAGTCCAAATCCCAACACCAAAAGGAAGGAAGGGAGGAAGAGAGGGAGGAAGGGAGGGAGGGAGGGAGGAAGGAAGGAAGAAAGGAAGGAGGGAGGGAAGGAAGGAAGGAGGGAAGGAAGGAAAGAAGGAAGGCAGGCAGGCAGGTGGGAAGGAGGAAGGAGGGAGAGGGGAAGCAGGGAGGGAGGGAGGAGGGAGAGGGGAAGCAGGGAGGGAAGGAGGGAGGGAGAAGGGAAGGAAGGAAGGAGGGAAAGAGGAAGGGAGGGAGGGAAGGAGGGAAGAATAGAAGGAGGGAGGAGAGGTGGGAGGGAGGGAAGGAAAGAAGGAAGGAGGGAAGGAGGGAAGGAGAGAGAGAGGGAAGGAGGAAGGAAAGAAGGGAGGGAGGGAGGAAGGAAGGGAGGGAGGAAGGAAGGGAGGGAGGAGTGATGGACAAGACATAAAAGGCATGTTGCTTATTATTTGTAAGAAAGATGTTATATTTACGTGTAAGGGAGGTGATTTTACTTTCAAATTCTGGCTACTTATTAGCACCTTAGTTCTAAAATATGGGTATGAATCTGAAGTCTGAAGGCAAAGCTTCTAAAAAAGGGAAAGCATATATTAACTATAAGAATTCAAAAGGTGGAAAGCCAAAGTATAGAAACAAACTACTAACTAAATGGAAGCTAACAGAGTTATATTAACACAGACAAAATAGATTTTTTTTTGTCAGTACTAAGATTTTAACTCCGGGCCTTGCATTTGCAAGACATTCTGAATACCACTTGAGACATTCTACAAGTATGTCTTCCCATGTAGGGGGATTCATTCTTCGAGATAACGGCTCAATTTATGGCTTGGTCAGTCTAGACTTTGATCCTTTCCCATGTCTCTAGGACAACAGACATGCGCAATCACACTGGGCCATTGTGCTTCCCCAGTAGCCTGAGATGAGGGGTACACACATCACTGCTTCCAGCCATTGGTTATGATGGAGTCTGACAAGCCTTTCTTTGCCAGGCTGGCCTTGAACCACAATACTCACATCTCTGACTCCCATTTACTTAGGATTACAGACTTGAGTCACTACACCTTAAAGGACAAAGTAGATTTTAAACCAATAATTATTATTACTAGAGATAAAAAGAAGTATTTTAAAACAATAGTCAATCCGTGACAAAATAATTCTAAATGTGTATGTGTATACTTAATAACACAACCTCAAAATAAATAAAAAAAAAAAAACAGGCTTGGGAGGATGTACCTCAGTAGTAGAGCACTACCTATAAGACCATGGGTGCAACCCTCAGCACGGAAAGAACGAAAAGACAAAACCCAAAAGAACAAAAAGACAAATCCAACACCTTCTCTCTCTTAGTAATTCACAGTGATCACAGACATAAAACTGATAGGGATAGAAAAGATTTTAGCAAGTATAATTGACTTACTGAGAACATTATATCAAACCACCATGGAATATTCTTTTTCAAGTGGCACATGGATCATTTATCAAAATGTGACCATATGCTAGGCTAAAAGTATGTCTCAAATTTCAAAGGACTGCATTTCTTAAATGACCTTCCTGAAGAATGAAGTCACACACAGTTGTGTTAAATGAGTTCAACATTCTCCTTACAATCTTTTTCATTCTTGTTTTATCTTCACTGAGTGTACAAGTTAAGTAAATTCACCTCTAGTTTAAAATGATCCCACACTATACATCAGTAATGTGAGTTAAATGCAACTGAGCTTTTCCCTATACATACAAGTATCCACCCAAGCAAGCAACTCTGACCTACCTTCCGCTTCAGAGGGTACCACCGCAATTGTGTGTTCTGTTTGTTGTCCCAGTCCCAGGCTTCCAAATCAAGTTCTACCTCCCCCAGGAAACTATTGCGTTTAAACGTATCCCGATGCCAAACAGACAGGTTCAGCTTCTGTGTCTTTAAGATTTGCTTTTCGATTTTATACTGCAGTGCAAAGAAGAAAATTTAAATGAATTACATTATTTCATGCTAAAGTTATGACACAGGGATGAAGACAAAAGTCATCAGTGCACATCAGATTTTCTCATCTGTAAAGTTTCAAGTCTCAAAAATATTGCAAAGTCATCTAATTCTGAGTATGTTATTTCAAAGAGCTCAAATCCATCTTTCACAAATGCTGAAGCTCTTCCCCCTCTGGAATAAGCAAACCATAGCTCAAATATCATAGCTGGTAATAGCTTTCTAAAAACAAAAGCCAATTATTCAGCTTTTGCAGGATGTTTTTAGATTATATATATATATATCATAAACCAAATACAAGTTAAAAATACAAATCACATTTAATATGATTCTGCTTTCTATGTGATGACAAGGTACTTCTTTTTAGACTTAAAAAATAGAGCTTTGAGTTTATAGCAAAATGGAGCAGAAAGTACAGAGTTCTGATACAATCTATCCCCTCCCCATGCACAATTCTCCCACATTATCCCACAGGATTCTTAAGAATTTTTCAGAAAAGGTAATTTTCTTTCCCAGCTTCCCATGGCCAACAGAAAAAAATCTGGCACCTAATAATTTTTTACCTCCAGTGTAGTTAAACCTTGATTATATATAATCATGGAAGGAATAATAGTACTTTTAATCTAAAATAATCTCCATTTCATTTTATGATATACTACTTGAACATCCATTTTGGTTGTAGCAGATCTGCCTTTCTCTGAGTCTGCTATTCAAGTTAGCTTAAGTAGTTGACCCAGTAGAAGCTAAGGAACTGGGTTATCTTGAAGTAGCAATTAAAAACTTGCTAGAGAAAATCCACAGGTGGCCAATCAACATGAATGACTAACAATTCACTGAACTATGGCTTCCTCCTTTTCCAGAGGATAATAAAAAACAGGAGTCTTCAGAAAAGAGGGAGTGAATAACACTTGCTATATTTTCATTTTTAAATGGTCTGTTAGTCGGGACAAAGAAAGCCCGGGGAGAAAAAAGTATGGTATATGAGCCAGGTAGACTTTCCAAACATCTGTCTTTCCAATAAACATTTCTGAGACCTACCCTAGACACTGTACCGCCAGTCAATATTTATGAAGCAATTAGGGTGTTAATCTCTTCATCTTTGTGAAGTGGTTTAACATCCATAATTACTAAAGGAAATTATTACTTTTTCCCTGCTGCATCAAAGCTGATCATTATCCTCATTTCTCATATCTGAGATGGAGATATGTTTTATTCCCAAAGGGACAGAGCCTACACACAAAACAGTGTCAGCATCTGTCCTCAAGGAACAGAAAATCTTACTGTTGAGGTAGACAATTAAACCAGTTAAGTACTGAGTGTTAACACAGCCTATTATAAAGCAAGGTTATAGATGCAGAGCTGGCAGGGAGCTTAGGGATTTAAAACAGCTCAGAGAAGCCGGGCACCAGTGGCTCACACCTGTAATCTTAGCTACTCAGGAGGCTAAGATCTGAGGATCACAGTTCAAAGCCAGACCGGGCAGGAAAATAACTGGAAGTGGCGCTGTGGCTCAAGCGGGAGAGCGCTCTCCTTGAGCTGAAGAGCTGAGGGACAGCGCCCAGGCCCAGAGTTCAAGCCCCACGACCAACAAAACAAAACAAACAAACAAAAAACAGTTCAGAGAGGCATTAATGGTTGCATGGAAGTAAGTTAGGGGAGAAATGTAGAGAATAATATTCCAGTCTGAAGGAGCAGAAAGTGACAGCCATTTGAAAATATAAATGCATTTGGCCCCAAATACAAATAACACAGAGTAAAGAACAAAGATTTTGAAAGAGGAAAGCAGAAGCTGGAACTCTTCAGGCTGTGAAGGAGTTATTATGCAGGTTATGAAAGCCAGACTTCACCTGTAGGAGAATAGAATCCTAGATAATATTAAGCAGTGAACAATATGACCAAAATTGTATAGTAGAAGCTTATTCTGGTTGCACAGCTTAACTTTATTTTCTGTGTATCCTTGAACAAGTTAATTATTCCTCCAAGTTTCATTGTCTCATCAGTGAGATGTAAGTAATAATAACCATTTGGTAGGTTATATGGGTGGTGAATGCATGGGATGATATACTTAATACTCATGACATATTATTTTTCTTTTCTTTTTGGTGCTGGTCCTAGATCCTGAACTCAGAGCCTCACACTCTCCCTTGCTTTTTTTGCTCAAGGCTGGTACTTTACCACTTGAACCACACCTCTACTTCTAAGTATATTATTTCTTACAAAAAGCTTGCTTTCTCTTGGTTACTCACTCTATTTATACAGATGCTACCTAAGAAGGCATGGTTATTGAATGCACAGGTCACTACTTAGTATTTTCCTATGGAAAGAGTATAGATACCCGAAGTATCTCGTTATACACAGGATTCAAGGTTTTCTTCATGACAAGTGTTTTCCTCTTGCCCATTTTGCCTTTGTCTGGTAACAAGTAGGTCTTTACATATCTATGAAGAAAACATAAATAGATATGGTCAGAGAAGATGAAAGTAATGTCTCTGCCTGGACTTTTCTAATACTGTAAAAACTGACAGTAGGAATAATTACTTCATGAGATTGAGGAAAATAGTAAGAAAGGACTGTTCCTGCCAACACCTTTGATCTCCGAATGTTTAAACGGATTTTGGTAAAATGAGTTGTTTAATATACTGTTCCGAAGATTTCGAAGGGAAATTTCCTGAATTCATTATTTTCATCTCATATTACCTAATAAATGTGTACAATGAAGAAGTCTGACCTGTAACAGTGCTTAATTCTATGGGTTAATTTCTTATTCAAGAAAGGTTTGGATGCTGTAGAATTGGTTTGGGGTTTTTCTTTTTAAATGTTTTTGTTACTGCTTTCTGAAAAAAAAATCTTAGTATATGTTGGTTGGGTTATACTCAATGTAAAAAGATAAATGCTGAGCCTCATTGTTTTTTCTATAAAAAATAACAGGACGAAGGATTAGGATAACCAAGTAAAATATTTAGGAATCAAGCTTCTGCAAAAGGGTAAGTGGAGAATCACTGAACCCTTACAAACTGAAACTATGATTTCAAGGATGAATTGGTAATTTTTCCTGAGAGTTCTTCTGTAGAACTTAATTTAAATATGGAAACTACCTTATTTTAAAGTCTTAAAGTCTTAACTGTTTTCGCACGAATGGACATTGTAGAATATGCATCACACATTATTAATGTTAGCAAAAGTTTGAAAAGAGACTGGGGTTCAAGGTTTCATTCTTTACTGTTGCTCTCTGAATTCACGGATATTCTTGTTTGTTTCTAGTCCTTGTTTCCTTATCTGTAAAATAAAAGAACTGGACAAGATGATCTCAAAGGTCACTTCCATATTTCTCTGATATTTTTTATAACTTAATGTTTCACATGCAAATTTCTATAGTAAATAAAACAGCATTTCCCTCCAACTTTAATGAACATGGCCCCTTCTTTTGATTGTTTTACTTCATTCTCAATTATTTTGGGTAGGTACTATAGCTTGAACACAGGGCCTTGCTCTATTACTTGGCTTTTTTGCTCAAGGCTGGAACTCTACCACTTGAACTATACCTCTACTTCTAGCTTTAACTGATTAATTGTAGATAAGAGTCTCTTTTCTGCCTGGGCTAGCTTTGAACTGTGATCTTCAGATTATAGGCATCAGCCACCAGTAACTGACTATAAATTAAACCTGAGAAACTTACTGTTAATTAACTAACAATGAAATAATTTTGGCCAATACTGGGGCTTGAAATCAGGGCCTCACAATCTCACTTGGCATTTTTTGCTCAAGGTTGGCATTGCATTACTTGGGACACATCTCACTTCCTCTCAAATCTAGGTTTGACAGATGTGTACTTACGGGTCTGAGCGCTGTTTCTTCACATCTGCTGCTGCTAAGTCTTTGCACTGGGCCACAAACACGTGCAGCTCCTTCAGTGACTCCACATAGTCCACTGCAAACTGGACATGTCCTTTCACTTCCAGATTGCCAAAGTCTCCACTATAAATACTCATCACACTGCCACTCACCTGGAGGCATCAGAAATACAATGTTTGTCTGTCTCATGCGTGAACACAGAGCAAGGATCATGAGCATAACCCCTGTTTAACCTCTTTTTTCTTTTCTTTTCTTTTTTAAGGTCAGTTGTAGAGATTGAACTTGGCCTGGGTGCTGTCCCTCAGCTCTTTAGCTCAATGCCAGCGTTCTACCACTTTGGTTTTCTGGTGGTTAACTGGAGATAAGAGTCTCATGGATTTCCAGCCCAGACTGGCTTTGAACTGCGATCCTCAGATCTTAGCTTTCTGAGTAGCTAGGATTACAGATGTGGGCCACCAGCACCAGGCTTAACCTATTTTTCTAGGCTGCATACAAAAACAGTTGATTTAATATGTCTTAAAAACAAAGACAAGTTGACATGATATACAGGACTAGGAATTTTCAAAGTTGCTAAAGAAAAAAGCAGATGAATAGTGAAATATAGTCATTTAGATGCCAGCTTATTTCAAAATGAGGTGCTTTTATGCTAGGTGGCATTCAGAGTTCTAGTTTTAGGCATGCATGGTATTTAAAATGCTAAAGAAAAAGGATATGAGAAAGTCCAGGCACACAAATCACAGTGGCACATTGCTGAAATTTCCACAGCACTAAAAAGGAATTTTACCATGTTATCCATCCACTGAATCCAGGAAAATGCTTACTGAGCCATGCACTTTTAGAGGTCAAGAAGGGTAGAAAATGGATGATTAATGAGGAGGGTTTAAAGCCTTCTCAAAGGCATACATTAGAGGGTCAGTAGAAAATCAATTTAAATAGATTTTTTTAAGCTTCAAAAATTCAAGGCTAGCAAGAATTTAAGCATGGCATCATTTATTTGGTATGTCTAGTGAAATACAAAAGCTTGTATGTATATCAGCAAAATATTTAGATGAGTATATATCAGTACATTTATTTATTTCCACCCACATACCATACACATACCCAGCTACCTTGCTTATGTGAATAGTTTCATGTAAAGTCAAATTCTCTTCAAATTTGAACAGCTACATTTAGGAACTTTCCTTTAAATGGAATTTGAATGCTTCTAGAAGGCAAAGAATTATCTCTCCTATTCTTATATGTGAATCAGTATTTAATTTTCAACAAGTATATGATGGTTAAATAGTATAAAAATCATAGCCAATATGAGTAAATTTTATAGTAGTCACCTTATTTGTTGTACAAAATATTTGTTGTTCAATCCATTGATAAGATAGGCTTATCTTTGAAGTACTTACATTCAATTTTTAAAAGTTATAATGTATATAAAACCCTCTATCCTAAAAAAGGGGTGAAGAAGGAGGTGGAGAAGGAAGAGAAGGAAAAGCAATAGGAGGAAGAAAAGGAGGTTAAAAAAAGAAAAAGTTAGCTATCAAGCAGCTAGTTAATAATTAGAGAAAATGTCTGTGAAGTGTGAGAACTACAACAGGTTACTTCACAATGTGCAGGAATATGGCACAGCAAGGCTTGGACAACAGAGAGATATTAACAGGGAGCTTTTGTTTACATACAGAAGACAAGGACGTCATGCCAGAGGAACTGCTAAGATTGGTTAAAGAGCCCGGGCTCTTCTTGTGTCTGCTGAGCTGGTAACTGCTTTCTGATGCTGTGTCTGTTTCTCTGTCATCACTCTACAAAACATCATATAATATGAACAGTATTTAAATTCAGAATGAGTCAAAGACAGAAATCTATGGTTAGACAAGGACAATTATCTTGGTAATTACCAATTTATAACATTTCTCAAGGTCACAGGATACTAGTGCTAATTCCCAAGCTGGGAGTTAGTGGTGCAGGCTGTAGTTGATAATCTGCATTGTGCCTCACTTAAGGAAGAGGGCAGGGCACAGTGATCAAAATGGCAAAGTGATTTTCCACCTACAAGGTAGCCCCAGGGTGCTCTAAGAAACAGTACCACAAGGTAGTCCCAGGGTGCTCTAAGAAACAGTACCATTGTGAGCTTTCCAGTCACTCTTTAATACATACATTGCCTGGAGAACTTTAGTCATAAAGATTCAGAATGAGGGCTGGGACGGTGGCTCAGTGGTAGAGCGCTTGCCTTGCATGCCTGAGGCCCTGCACCACATAAGGAAAAAGAAAAAAGCCGGAAGTGGCGCTGTGACTCAAGTGGTAGAGCACTAGCCTTGAGCTGAAGAGCTGAGGGACAGCGCCCAGGCCCATAGTTCAGGCCCCACAACTGGACCCCCCCCCAAAAAAAAAAAAAAAAAAAAAAAAAAGAGATTCAGAATGAGCTCCTACGGGAGTTAGAGAGCTTATGGAGCACTTCAGAGGCTCCTGGGGTTATGGAGACATTAGTTCATGCCAACATATTCCAAGACCATGCAATTATTCATCAATATAATGGATGCCAATTCTAATGCAGATTAATAAGGGAGTTAAAGAAAAACAAAATTAATAACTGACATGGATAAGAAAAGACTCCTTTCTCAAAGATTACAAAACATCCACACCTTTTAAATGTCTTTGTCATACTCTTTCCCCACATGAATAATTCTCTATTATAGCACATATGATATTCTACCTAGTGTATCAGATCATGAGTAAATTACTGGAAGGATGGGATCCTGTCTTGTTGATCTGGAACAATCTTTTTATTTTCTCATATAATTAGCACTCAATCAATGTGGATAACGTTAAGTCTCAGACGACAGTGAATCCCATATCCTCTAATATCTAGTCCAACCCTAAACACTTTGAAAAACTGATCGAGTTTAATTGTGGCCTCTCTAATAAACAATTTCAAATAATTTGAACTTTCTTCTAGGTAGGGCTATGACTCAACAAGTTAAAACTGAATGAGTTTGAGAAAAAAAAATTGAATGAGAACATTTTAAAAACTGCTATAGTTTCTATCTCAAATTAGTATATGGTTCATTCCTATGACCCACCAAACCCCCCTCCACCTCATCCAGACCAAAGTGGGTCTACAATGGTATAAAAGCCACAGGAACTTCAGAAATGTTCACAACTTGATTCTAGCTAGTGACTGAATTCTAAAAATTGAGTAATTCTTTCAAAAGGAACACTGTGGGATCTTAAACATGTGTGAGGACTGAATATGTGCAGATACAGCTCTTCTGAATACCAGAATGGACAGAAAAGTATCCAGGATTGGAGAAGAAGGGTGTGTAACTTACATAACACTCAGAATTTTCTTTCTATTCTTGCTAAGAAAAATCGGAGTAAAAGCTAAAATAGCACATATACTGGATACTCATTATTTGCCAGGTACTGTGCTGTGCATTTTTCCTAAGTTAGCCTACTGATGTGGTGGTTAGGGACTTAGGTAACCAGACTAGGGGAGACTCAATTATTTGTCCAAGATTGATCACACAGGAAGTTAGTACTTGCTCACTTGGAATCTGACCTCAGACCTTAGGTTAACAACCTGACTACAAAAACATGAGACCTGGGGCTGGGAAGGTGGTTCAGTGGTAGAGTGCTTGCCTTGCATTCATGAGGCCCTGGGTTTGATTCCTCAGCACCACACAAACAGAAAAAGCTGGAAGTGGTGCTAGGCTCAAGTGCTAGCCTTGAGCTGAAGAGCTGAGGGACAGCACCCAGGCCCAGAGTTCAGGCCCACAACTGACAAACAAAACAAAAAACATGAGACCTTATTTGGGTCAAAAGATATTTGGGTCAAAAGATTCCAAATGCCCGGCATGGTGGCTCACACCTGTGATTCTAGCTACTCAGGAGACTAATCTGAGGATCACGGTTCAAAGCCAGCCAGGGAAGGTCCCTGAGACTCTTACCTCCAATAAACCACTAGAAAACTGGAAGTGGCACTGTGGCTCAAGTGGTAGAGCACTAGCCTTGAGCTAAAGAGCACAGGGACAGTGCCCAAGCCTAGATTTCAAGCCCCACGGACCAACAACAACAACAAAAAAGATTCCAAATCTACTTATTAGTAGCTATTAGATTTTGGAAAAGTGACTCTGAGGGTCTTTCCTCTTCTTTTAAAATGGTAGAAAATAGTCCTCTTCTCCAATCCTGGATACTTTTCTGTCCATTCTGGTCTTCAGAAGAGCTGTATCTGCACATATTCAGTCTTCACACATGTTTAAGATCCCACAGTGTTCCTTTTGAAAGAATTACTCTATTTTTAGAATTCAATCACTAGCTAGAATCGAGTTGTGACCATCTGGATATTGAAATGAGTAGTAAGTGCCTGGTACATATACATACTAAGTACTGAACATACTGGTCATGTTCTTAAGGCAGTAGGTATAAGTGCCTGCTATATACAAGGGACTCTATATACTGGTCATGGTCATAAGGTAGTATGATGATCTGCATGAGAATCAGGTCTGGGATCCAGTTCTGGATCAACTTCACCAACCTTGTTCTCAGTTTCTTTACTTGTGATACTTGAGTATAATAATCTTCCAGGATCATTGGAGGATGAAATAAAAGAATAAATGTAAAATCTGCTGTGTCACTGTTATTTTTTAACAAATGCTTTCAAGGTAGTCATATTGCCTAGACTAAGTCAAATCAGCTCCAAGCTACAGAAGGGTAGCTAATTCCTGCCAACATATTTCTCCCTGGATTTCTTGTTTTGTACCTACTTTGAAACAAAAGTCACATTCCCAAATCTAGGCAATCTGACTTCACTACCAAAAAAGAATTTCTGTTTGAGTCACATGAGATGTTCTATGCCTAGTTCCAGGACCAACAACACTGCCTCCATTGACTTGGAAGCAAGGGTCGGTCCTGCTGTCCTCTTTGGTCCCTGCTACAGTGGAACACAAACAGTCCAAGCAAATTTGCCTGTTTCGCTCCATTCTCCTGAAGGTATAAAAAACAAGACTTGCCTCATCTTGAAGAAATGCTGGAACAGACTTGCTCATCCTTTTGAGTTTGTCAGGATAGGAAAACTGATTATCCGGTTGTGAAGGCACTGTGGAAACTAAACAGCAGAATTTGATTTCAATTTACTCTTACAATGGTCAGATAATAGACATAAGCTGAAAACACACTTTTATTTTTCAATTTATGAACAAATGCACTGGGCAAATAGGTTAAAGGCACAGTAGTTCACATGCACAGGACTGTGAGGTAAGCAACATGCTGTTTTAATAAACTATATAGAGAGAAAAAAAGAGAGAACAAGGAATTGAACCAAATAGTAAATAAAAAATATTTTTTAAACTAGTTCTTGTTGAACTAGAGCTGGGTTCCAATTACTAAAGCATTTTACCAATGTGAATTGGTTTTACTTATGTTTTAAACATATCAGACCTATGAACCCCAAATTCTATGTTATTGGTTCATCTCCTCAAGATACACTGCATGACCAGCATGGTGCAGGATGAAAAACTATTTCATTTGAACAGTATCTTTACACATAACAATGGAAGTGTTCTTGGCCTTTAGGTGCTTAGGAGCAAGCTTGTTTACTTAATGATCATGAGGTTTCTTTTTCTCACAGTGTTTCTGACTCAGAACTATGAAAAGTAAAAATTAAAAACTGTTTCTGACGCAGGCACTGTTGACTCATGCCTGCAAGCCTACTTTAGAAGGCTGATATCTAAGGGTTGTGGTTCAAAGCCAGCCTGGACAGGAAAGTCTGTGAGACTCATCTCTAACACCGAAAACGTCTCACATGGAATTGTGGCTCAAGTGGTAGAGTGCTAGCCTTGGGCAAAAAATCTCAGGGTCAGCACTCAGGTCCTGAGTTCAAGTCCTAGGTCTGGTACCAAAAAAGAAAATTCTGAAAACACACATTAGTTTAAATAAATTTGAATATCCCAAGGCCAAGTTTAAATGGTTTAAGCTATGAAAATAAATTCTATGAATTTATTTTTTTCATTATTTAGAGAAGACTTTATTAGTTTCTGTAATCAAACCCATATAGATAAGACCTTACACATATAAGACAGTGTTTACCCCTGTACAAGTGAAAAAAATAAGCTTCATTATTCTATGAATATGAAAAATATAGCACATGTATCTTCTGCTATAGTGAATACATGTGTGAATGGCACAGAAAGAGGTTGTATTCTAACCCTAATGTACACAGCTCTAGTTAGAAAAGTATTTTCTCCTTTGTCTAAGAGTCATATTATCTGAGCTTTTCTTATGGTAAATCATAGCTCTTACAACAAAAGTTAATATTTTCCAAAGTATTTAGGTGCCTGACCCATAGATTTTATATAATTATTTTCTAAATAAAAATGTTGCCTGATACAGAATCCTTAAATTATATTGTGAACACAATGAAAAGGTAGTAACTTGGCTTATCCTTAAAAGTGATATTAGGAAAACAGATCCAAATAAAATTTCATTTCTATATATAAATCAAAAGACTCAAATTTACCATAAGCATTAGCTAAATTCATCTTTAATTTAAAAAAATCATGCAGGCAAATCAAATTTGAACTTACATATGAATTTTCATCTAGTTTTAGGTACACAAAGGTAAATGTACAACAAAACCCATTCTTCATGTCTCTTCCTATTGAACAACTCTCTCTTTTTCCATCTTTGTGTGTGTGTGTGTGTGTGTGTGTGTGTGTGTGTGTGTGTGTCAGTGTGAGTTACATTGGTAGCACAAAGACTAGGTTGTAGTGTACAGGTCAATGAGACTGTAAAACTTTTGGTTACAATCTTTTCCTCTTATTATTAAAGGTAGATGAAGGCATGCCACTATTTAAATATCGTGAATTTTATACTTGTGGGCTTTCATTATATATGTTTTGATTCTATATTTAATTTTATCTTATGAAAAGAACATATTATATGCTAATAAAAGTCACTAAGAAAGCTGGTTCTGGTGACTTGTGCCTGTAATCCTAGCTATTCAGGTGGCTGAGATCTGAGGATGAAGTTTCAAACCCAGCCTGGACAGGAAAATCAGCTTCTTATCTCCAATTAATCATCAGAAAACCGGAAGTGGTGCTGTGGTAGAGTGCTGCCTTGAGCAAAAGAGCCTGGGGATAGCACCTAGGTCCTGAGTTCAAGCCCCACAAGCAACCAAAACAAACAAACAAAAAGTCACTAAGATTCATTTTTGGAAAATAGTGCTAAAAAGAGAGCAATTGATTAAGTCCAAATTTAGCACAAAACTGGTCTATTTGCCTTGACCAATAACTAAGCCAATTAGGAGATCTTGAGTGAACACAGAGAAACACAAGCATATGCATATTTGGCTTTTTCATTCCTCAGGCTAACTATTGAACAAAACATAGCAAGATAAGGTCAAAGGGCCAAACTTAAGCATTTCCCAGTTCAAAAGCAACACCTCTTATGGTCTTATTTTGTCCACAGCATCCAGAAATCACATACTCACAAGGGCCAGGCCTGGACTGTCTTCTTTCCTAGGCAGCTCTTAAGAATTTGTCAAGTCATATGCCAGAGCTCAACTCTCCATTGCTTGCAGGAGGACCTTATGAGCAGTGTCAGATTACATGCTAGATGTCATGACTTAAGCATCAGCACATTGATTCTCTAGCTAATGGCTCCCTCCTTTAGCTGCTCTCCTCATTATTGTCTGTTAGCACATGCAAAGGCTGTGAGGAAATTACTATTATATACCATGGAACCAAGGGCAGAGGTATGTAAGATTATCTTCATATTTCCAGCGTTTCTAGGTTTCTAGGTTTACAAAATGGATAGAAATAGGGGAGCTAAGAAACCACATAGGCATATCTTCATGCTTTGCTTGGCCCCACAGAATCTTTTTTTATGTGTTATTTGTCCTAAAGATAGTGGTTATGGGCCAGATGCTGATAGCTCCTTCTTGTAATCCTAGCTACTCAGGAGGCTGAGATCCTGAAAATAGTAGTTCAAAACCAGCCTGGGCAGAAAAGTCCATGATATTCTATCTCAAAAATAATTAGAAATAAAAAAAAGCAGGTCTGGAGATGTGGTTCAAATGGTAGCCTGTCAGCCCAGCAAACAAGCAAGCTAGGTGAATGTGAAGCTCTGAGTTCAAACTCCAGTACCACTAAGAAAAAAAGAAAATAGTCACTGCTAAGTAATCTTAAAAATTGAACAAAAAAGAGGTAAAAAACCATGATCTTTGCTTAGTGTTGCACATTAATTAGCTAATGGACATTAGTTGTAGAAGTGTGTTTATTTCTTAGACTCAGATGTCCATTCATCTTTTATCTTGAATATGTACTGTTTGTATCTAATTTTAAACCTGAAAGTTTAAATCCTTGTTATAATTTGTAGAAATGTAGAGAGGTATATTCAACTATACTACATACTAATTTGTCAAAGTAAAGTTCATTTTTTGGTTCAAATAATTAATAAATTGCTTTATAACTACAGTTTTGTATAGAGCCCACAAGATTCAATACTTAAGACCATACTGCAACTCAACGCCCACTGAAATCAGAAAGTGCTAACTTGATTTTAAGCAAAAACTCAAGAAGAGCAGAGAGATAGCTAGACCCTGGTGGCTTATGCCTGTAATCCTAGTTACTCAGGAGGCTGAGATTACAGGATCACTGTTTGAAGCCAGCCAGGGCAGGAAAGTCCATGAGACTCTTATCTCCAAATAATCACATAAAAAGCTGGAAGTGGCTTAAGTGGTGGAGTGTTAGCTTTGAGCAAAAAGGAGCTCAGGAACAGTGCCAATGCCTAGAGTTAAAGCCCCAGAACCAGCAAAAAAAAAAAAAAAGAGAGAGAGAGAAGAGAAATGGACAAAAAGTCAATTGTATACAGTAATAGCAATACAATAACATATACATGTATTAGATATATGCCCCTTCCCTTAGTGAAATCACGAATTATTCTTCCAACAAATAGTAATGAAGTATTTTTTTTGGGGGGGGTCCAGTCATGGGGCCTGAACTCTGGGCCTGGGTGCTGTCCCTCAGCTCTTCAGCTCAAGGCCAGCGCTCTACCACTTGAGCCACAGCGCCACTTCTGGCTTTTTTCTTTTTACTTATGTGGTACTGAGGAATCGAACCCAGGCCTCGAGCATGCAAGGCAAGCGCTCTACCACTGAGCCACCTTCCCAGCCCCAGTAATGAAGCATTTTTAAAAACACTTATCAAAGTGAAATAGCTTTGCAAGCTGCAGGAGTTTAGCAATAATAAGTGCTATGGTATGAATGAGTTAGTTCAGGACATTGAATACTGTGTAGATTGGAATAGTTAAACAATTGTGAAGAAGATCCTGCTACTCACTTCCTGGTATGCATTCATTTGTTTCTGGTTCCTGATCTGTTTTTTTATCTACTCAGAAGAGTAACATAGAGAACAAAAACCATTTTAATAGAAGGGTTAAACAGTCATGAAAGTAAAGCTCAAATGTCAGTTTTACAACTGAAATTGCAGAATACATCTGACAGGTTTTTCAGCTTGCTTCATCCATATCCCTGTGTGACTCCATTAGCCTCTTTACTGTCTCCTGCTTACGTAAAAAAATCTAAGTTCCAGGATCAGAGGGCACAGTGGCTTTCCTGTAAGTTGCTAAACCAAAGCATGAGTAGGGGCAGGCACACTGAACAGGGAGCAATGAAGCTGGGATTCCATTCTCTGCTCTCCCATTGACTGAGTAGGATACAGGATCTTAGAAAAGTCAGACAATTCCTCCAACCTTTACTAATCTGAGAAATCAATATGAAAATCCTGCCTACTTTATTTTAATGACATAATTAGAATGATCTTTGAGGAACTTTATCACTACATTTTGTATAGGAAAGCTCAGTAAATATACATTTTTATAGTTATAGCAAGAGCAATTTAGAAAAAATGCAAAATCTAGCATACAAATAAATTATACATAAATTGCATAAATTCAGAACTAGTCCCTATTAATTTTTTTAAGCTGAACCAAGTAATAAATGACCCACAGCCAATCTTTGACATCTCTGATTCCTTAACATTCCGATCAATTAATTCCACCCTCAGTCTAGTCTTTATCCAAGCACAGGCAGATTTCCTGACCCTTATTCTGGGACCATTTCTTTTGATGTTAAGACTTTACTAGCTGTTTCCAGATACCTAAATGTTAAGACTTCAGGCTCAAACATAGGATTCATTTAACCCAGAACTTGCTCTACACTTCCTCGTCTTCAAAAAGAGTTTTGCAAGTCACAGTAGTAAAAATCAACTCATACCCACAGAAATACAATTTCCTATTTATAGCAACTTTTGTTTCCCCAAGAGTCTGATGCGATCCTCCCAACAGTATCTCTCTAGCAAAAGCCTTAAGAATACAAACAGAACTAAAGGCACCGAGTCAGAAGGCTTTAATAACTTTGGTATTATTTAGTATATAGTAGCAAATGCTATTCTTCACTTTATTAATCATCACCATCCCCATAACTGCCTAAATCACCCAGAAACTTAAAACACAAACAAACATGCAAATACATAAAGATATTTACCATCTTCAGCACTATGCACTAAATCTTCTGGCAGAATATCTACTTTTGCTTGTTCTGTTCAGGAGAAATTAACAAATGGTTAGCATGGCTGACCCTTGGAGAGAAAAGAACAATGAGATTGGTCCCTGGAAGCTCCCGGAGTTGGAACCAATTAATCCAGATGCAGTGAGGGGTGCGACCAAGATGTCTTCCCCCAAATACTTTCCCTTTAGATGAGCTCCTTGAGCCAGTGCCATAGCGCAAACTCCCATTCAGCTTGATGCAGCTCACATCAGCACATTGCTTGCTGCACACTGACTCCCAAGGGTTAGAGGGTTAGCTCAGAGCAAGCCGTCAGCCAGCAGCAGAAGGAAGCACAGGACTGCAATAGCTTATCTATTCTTCTGCAAAGGGTAAGATGCTAGCCATGACTAACATCTTCCCAAACCTATGGCCATTAACAAATACTTGTGTGTGTGCATCATCGTTTGCATATGCCGCTGAGAGACTTGCTTGGGAAGTCAACTTAAGAGCTGTAACTGGGAACCAGCTGCTAAGTGGAATCTTGGCAGGCTAGTGTGAGAGTGGGTATCGGTATTTAGAAGGGAGTGTGCAAGAATACCGGTCAGCTGATGGTGATATTTTTTTTTAACCCTACAAATTCCTGAGAACTTTAAAGCTGCACCATGGAAATAGCCCCATCCTTCTGAAGGCAAGAGGTTGGCTAAATTGAACAATTGGTGTTGAGGAGCCTCCCCTGCCCCTCCCCACACCCTGCCCCAGGCTCATCACCAACATAAGTCATAAAAATTAGGGCTGTTCAATAAAGGATGGTACTGGCCTTCTCTGGAAGTATTCAGGCAGGGGTGGGGGCTGATCACCTGTGGAGGAAGCTTTAGGGGATCTTTCTGGGCTAGGAGGAGATTGAAATGGGTAACCTTCAAGGTCCCTCCTAGCTCTGAGATTTCCAGCCCCTTCGGAGGGCTAGGAGTGCATTCCAAATTGGGGAATATTGTCTTTAGAGCCTTGGGAGTCCCTGAATTGCAGATACTTTCATATGAAGTAGTTTTTCCTTGCTGCTAATTAAACTCTGATTTATTTATTTGCTGTAAGTCACCCTTACAGATGTCTCAAAACCACTCCAAACCCAGAACTTCAAAATAGTTAAGAACAAACCCTCTAGAAGTCATGTTTTCTAAGTCCATTTGCCTAGCAAACTGCCTAGCACACAGTCCTTATGTACATTATACTTTCTATCTGCACATAAGAAATCCTTCACCAATTGAGACAGCAGCCAGTGAAGAAAAGGAAACTTAATGTATTGTGAGTTAGTCTTTGTAGTCCCAGTATCCAAAAGAAAATGTGTGGATAGAAAAGATGGGATAAGAGAGAAAAGAAAGCCCTTGAACCAGGGACTAATTCTACTTCCTAACATGCAAAATTCATTGGACACCCAACACATATATATCACAGCCACTTCAAAATGCTGCTGGCAGTAATCCATTAATTTTGAGTCTCAGGTATGCTGTGTGACAGTAAGAACACGACTTTATATCTCCAAGCCTCAGTTTTACAAGTTATACAACAGGGAAAACAACAACTCATCTCTCACTGGGTTGCCTGTATTGGTTAAATGAGGGCAACTGTGTAAAATTCTTAGACAAATTTGGGCAGATACTCAATAAGCCATTTGTAATGAGTACTAAACTACTAGCTACCACAATCCTTTAAAACTCACTGTACTTGAGTAAATGCTCAGTGCAATCCAAAGAGACCTAGGCTTCTAAGAATCAAAGTTCATACATTATCTTAAAAGCAAAGTTCAAGACATTTAAGTGTGAGCCTCTTCAGCACACTTGGGAGAGGTTATTCTCATCAGTTAACCCCTGCAATGGGATTTCAGTGCATGGCAACATGCAGTGAGACCACACAAGAGCACATAAGCAACTTTAAGCTCAGATGAGGTATAAACAGGGGGGCAAACTTTATTCTCACTTGATGAATCTGATGAAATGTCTTCTAGACTTTTGGAAGGCATTTTCCTAGAAGCACTCTTTTCCAAAGTTTTCAAAACAGGACTGGGTTCTTCTTCTGAACCTGTTATAAGACAAAACTGATGAACACTGCACAATACAAAAGGAAAAATAACCTTTTCATAACCAGTGAACATTGAGACAGTAGGTTGTAAAGGCTGTAAGTCTCCCTACTTTGATTTGTTCTAAGTGCTTTTTACTTCATGGAAGAAAAAGTAAAAATTTTGAACTATTAATATTCTCTTTAAATATAATTTCCCTGGTCAGGAAATATTCTTATATAAACATTACAGAAACAAGATTACCACATTAATAGGAAAGTGTCTTCCTAGTTGTTTGCAGCTCTCTATTTTAGGCACATGATTTATTTTGCACCCATCTTTGAATCTTCCCACTTAACATTCTAGCTTTTGAAGATAGCACTGAAATGAATTTAGAAGCATTAGAAAAGTTAGCTGAAAACCACAGAAGGCAGCATTCAGATGTTTAACATCTGTATATAATCTGGTATACAGATGGGTGTCTTTCTGGACCAGTAGGTGCAGGCTTTCTGGATTTCATGACTGTTAAAATCTCAACCAAATAAGGGTAAATAAATGAGGTAGTCAACTTTTTATTTAATCAAGTCATTTGGAAGGGGAAGGGGTAATCCTATCATTTATTAATACTATTGTTCTAAAATAACATGTTTTAAACCAAAAGAGGAAAAGAAGAATATAGTTCCAGAACAGAATCAGAACAGTCCTTAAATTAAATGCACTTAATTTTTTTTAATCTAAATTTTCCTTAATTTTTCTTTTTGACAGTGAAAACTCTTATCATGGTTAAGCCTGCTTTGAGGATGGACATTTATTACTGTCTAGTCTCAGTGCAATGACAATAGACACTTGAAAAATATTTCCTGAATCAATGAATCATTCCATTAATGAATTAGTGAGTTTAAGAACCACTTTTCTAAACAATAATTTAATGAAATGCATTCTAGTCCCTGCCTAATGTTTATACGCATGACAGAGCAAATGGATTCTAGGATCAATTTGATTTGGGATGTTCAAGGTTAAACTTTAAGAGATATCTTATTAAAGTCCTCAGAGATTTGAACATGCTAATAATGTACATAATCCTCCAGCATTTCAAAAAGGATTTGACCATAGAGACTCCCTCTCCAAAAGGAATATATTGAAGTACTAGCTAGTGAAGAACTCAGCCACAAGTAAACATGTCAGATCCCTCATCAAAATTAAGGTAACTTTGTAGTAAGTTTCTTCCTTAATGCCCAGCCTTCCTCTGCCAATTTGCCCTAAAATAGTCATTTAGGTTAGAAGATATAAAACAAGGACTGTACCATTTTATACCTCTTATTGGCTCATAATTTTTAATTATTTCCTCTGGCCTTGGTCTAGGTGATTATTTCATACAATTTCTTATTTAGATATACTTTTTGTTCTTTAATCAGCAAAGCCTATACACTGTTAAGTATGGCTACACACATTGGATAATAGCATCTATCTAGGGAAAATTTACAAGGTTCCTAGGGCAGTTTATCCTGGTAACTCATGGGACAGGGTATTAAGAGGATATTTCAGTAGGGTTCATGTTCTAGTTTTTTTAAAGTAACATTTGTGGCCAGGCACTGGTGACTCATGCCTGTAATTCTAGTTACTCAAGAGGCTAAGATATGAGGATCACAGTTCAAAGCCAGCCCAGGCAGGAAAGTCTGTGAGACTCTTATCTCCAATAAACTCCTCAGAAAAAGCAGGAAGTGATACTGTGGCTCCACTGGTAGAGCACTAGCCTTGAGCAAAAGAAGCTCAGGGACAGGGCCCACACCCAGTGTTCAAGCCCCAGGACTGGCAAACAACAAACAAACAAACAAAAAGTAACATTTGTTAAAAGGACTTCAGTGTTCAAGATGGCACACTACAGCTACTTTCAAAAGAACTCAGTCACTCAAAAAGGCTTATCTAATTTCATTGAGACTGTAGTCCATTAAACTACAAGGAAGGAGATTAAGAGCAGCTGTTGTACAACTTCAGTTAAACCGTCCCAGCCAGAGAGCATTATATACCATTTCATCACTGTTCATTCAGGCAATTCTTTATTCTAATTTGCTCTGGAATTTCTCTACCAAAAAAAAAAACCCTCAAAGAAATAATCAGAACAGCGAATGAAGACAAGCTTTATGCTTTATAGTCTAATAGAAACAACCACCCTTAGGTCCACTTGGGTGAATGTGAGTGTGGATAAAGATCATTAGCTAAGCCAGAGAAATGCACCACACCAGGCAACTCATTCAGTGGAGTCAGGTGAATTTATCTGACCCAAATCACATTCTAGAAGGTAAAGATTCTACAGATATCTGAAAGTAAGAGAGAAGGAGTGGCAGCAAAAAAATACCACAGCACAAAGTATTGGAGGAAAGGGAAGTTCTGCTTTATACTTTGTCCTGAATACTTAGCCAAAATTGCAGTAAAACACTGCTCTTACTTGGCTCTTTGGTGCAACTTTCTTAACTTTGACTAGAGATTTCACTTAATATTACTAGTTAAGAAATTTCAATTAGTTCTAGGAGGAACCTCACAGTTGAAGGTGCCTTCTAAACCCAAAAGGTTATTTTTAAATACTAACATTCTACAGGTAGATTTATTGAGAAATAAGGTTAGCCTTGTAGGAAAGCTGTTCCTATGTAATTCACCTGAATAAACAACGTAAGTGAATTTTTTTTTAAATAAGAAAGGCTCAGGAGAACTAAAGTAAGAAAAAGAATGTAAAGTATCCTTTACATTAGAATTTCATGAAGCAGACTTATAATGAATTTTAAAAAAATGAAAAATGCTCACTAGAAGTACTTCTCCAGCTTTCTGCATTAGAAGTGGTGTTTCTATCCGAAAAGTCAGAGTCAGAGAAATTGCCTTTTTCTTGCTCTTCGTCTTGTCTCTTATATTCAACTTCATTTGCTTTTGGAGAGTTTTCTTTGTTTGTCCAGAGAGGAACAGGTTGCTTCTTTCTGGACCCACTAATTACTTTAAAAGCCTCTTCAAAGCCAGGCACCTGGAAAGGCTCTTGTCTCCCTGCAATATCACTTTCCTTGTCCCCGCCCTCTGGGGGTCTCATCATTTTAGTGGCCCCAATTTCATAGTCCTCAAGTTGTGAGGTTCCAGGGGTCTCTATATCACTTGCAGAACCGCAATGATCTACCAGTAAATCAGCCACAGCTTCAACTCCCCCGACAAGTTTATCACACTCTTTGACTTGGGATTCCAGATCATTCATTTTGCCCTTCATTTTAGAGGCTCCTGAGGCTGGGCAGTAAACATGGGGCATTGTCCCCAAGACTCTGGACGGCTCTGACTGTGAGGGCCCCTTCTCAGGAGCCTCTTCCTCCACCGACAGCTCGAGCGAATAAAGAGGAGCTTCAGATACTTCTTTAAGTAATTTCTCAAGCCCAATATCAAAAGCACTCTCAGTGATTGTGGGAGCCTCGATCTTTTCTACTGTTTCTTGCACTTCCTCAGGATGGATTTCAGGAGCAATGTGCCTGTCAGCACTACCTTTTATCTCTGATGAAGAAAGCATCTCTGGATCCTTTCCATGTGTTGATGGGGAGGTTTCTAGTGTTTCCCTCAGGAGTTTTTCTAAGCCACTGCTGAATTCAAGGCAGCATTCTGATCTAGGTTCAATAATTGTTTGCCTCACCATTTCTGCCACTTCCTGAGGTAGTTCTATGTTATTCTGAGCCACAGTGGAAACAGATGAGCAAACGAGCTGTTCTGATGGAGATATTTGGGTAGCTAAATAAGATCTGTATTCACAAGCTTTATCAGGAACTATTTGGGAGGAATTACGAACAACTCTGTCCACTGTAACCTTTGGTGGGGCCACTCCCAGAGGACTTGGGAAACTACCTGCTACAGAGTTTCCTTCAGGAAGCTCTGCCTTCACGCCTCCAGGAACTGCTTCATTTCCAGGTGGATAACTCAGGCCAGCCTCTTTTAATAGCCTCTGTAATGTAGTGTTTACATCAGCCATCACAGGTGTGGATGGAAGAATGACTTTCTCTATGGTCTCTGAAATTTCCCTTTGGGAGGGCAATGCCCTATCCTGGGGAGCCAGATGAGCATCCCAAGTAAAAGACACATCTTTTGGCGAGTGGGTCTCATCCTCAAAATCATGCTTTCTGCAAGGAGGGGAGGCCTGCTCCAGCAAAGGGGGCCCTTTTTCAGCCATCTGAAGCAAGCCTTCCCTGTGGAGCTCACACTCACCACTATCAGCCTTCTGGGTGAAGGCTACATCTCCCAAAGTGGCATCCTCTTCTGGAAAAGGAGCTATTACCTCTCTCAGATAGGCTGAACCATTGGGATCTTGTTTTGTTCCCTCTTCACAAAATCTGCCTTCTTCAGGCTGAGAGTTGGTTCTAGTGGTAATAGGTTCCAATGTGCTTTGCAGGGTAGAGTATGAAGCTCCAGTTGCTTCTTTCAGAAGTTTGTCTAGACAAGCAGCCAAAATGTCCTGTTTGAACTTTGGAGGGGCTACTGTTTTGTCTACACGCTCTTCAATGAGCTCTTTAGCGGTGATCTCCCTAGGCCCTTTGGGGTCTTCCTCAATAAGAGAATAATGTGCCTTTTGAGACCACGTCCTAGTTTCAGAAATACCTGGCTTGAGTTCATATTTTCCATGAACTTGTCCATCGAAAGGTTGAATTGGAGGCAATGAAGCTAAACTGTCATTAAAAGTGACTTTGTCATCAATAGACAAAATTCCCATTTTCACTATGGATTCTTCAATCTCTTGAGTCGAGTAATCTGTTTCCTTCTTGATCACTGGAGTGAGCAACCATTCTGAATTTTTTTCCACATTTTCCTTGGATGGCTCATTTCCTGCCAACTGATGAGTGGACATTCCTACTGGTTTCAGCCGAAGTGTGGTTTCATCTGGTAGCACCTGGAGCGTGCACTTTGAGTTTAATTTCTTCATTTCCTGTCTTGCCATAAGGTTTTTATGGTTTAAAAGTGCTTCTACTTCATGAACATTTTTTCCTGATGATTTAGTATCATTGAATTCTTTGTGTTTCTGGTCATCCAAAAGGGTAGGTTTTGTGAGATTTGTAGTGTTCTCAAAATTATCCTTACTGTTTGCTCCTAAGTCCCAAAACTTTCTCAGATTGTCAAACTGTGAGTGATGATGGACTTGCTCAGTATTGGATTCAGCTGTTCTTTCCTTTAGGGACATCACTTTAAAGTTGGCGTTTGATTCACCAATTGGAAGTCTATTTTTCTCCAAAGGAGTCTGTCTTTCCCTCTCAGTATTTGAGGTACTGGGCAGTGCTGGTAAAGTCCTATCTCCTGCAGAGCACCAACTGTCTTCAACTGGCAATTGTTTTACAGATTTCTTCTGAAACACAGACAATTTTTCTGACAGGCCAGCTGAAGGAGAGTCTTTGGATGGATCTGGTATTTGGGGCCTGGGCTCTTCAAGTTGATTTGAGGAACAAACAGTGGAGATATGGGGTACTTGGTCATCGTCATCAAGCACCACTCGCTTGGCAGTGACTTGACAATATTCATTCATATCTGTCGCCATGCCCTGTGACTTCAAAGGTTGGTATGTTTCAGCACAAGGCTGTTTCTGGCCACTTGAAGGTATGGACTCTTTATGAGTTAAGTTAGCCCCAGCTTTCTCTCTTTCCCAAAAAGATATTCTTTCACTCACTCTTACATATTTCTCTCTTTGTGTTTGCTTCTTGGGAACCTCCCTAACATCTTGCCAAGGAGATCCCCCATGGGCAGCCCCAGGAGACATATGCCTATTCTCTGTCTCTAAGGAAGTCTGAAGGATGGAACTATTTCCTTTTTTGTTCTTTATCTCTGCTTCCACATCGTCCTTCAAATTTGGTTTGTGGGCAGATGTCCATGAGTGAAGATTCACTTCGGTGTTTTCTCTATTTTTTTCTTGGACAGGAAGTTTGGGTTCTCCTTTGCCCAAGCTGCCAATATTCTTAGAGTTGCACAGAGCTTGCACTTGAGAGTCAGATCCTTGGAGAATGCTGCAGGAGTAATTACTGGGTGCAGCAGGTGACCCATTTCCTTTTCCAGTGCTTATTGAATTTTGGCTAATGTCCATAGTTTTACTTCCTTGACTTGAAGTTTGATAGCTTTCAAATGGTATACTCAGATCTTTCCCTGAGGTACCTTGTTGGGATAAATTCATACATTCAGATTTGTTATTCATGTTGTTATCTTTACAGTTTTCAGAAAACAGCATATCTCCCTCTCCTTGAAATGTTAAGTCAGGTTTCACAGGCTTCAATGTAACTTTGGTAGGTGATAGGGACTTTGAGTCATTTTCTTTTAGACTGACATTTTCCATCTCCAAGGCAGCAATATCCTTCAATGGTGAGTCTGCTTTTTCTTTGGTCTCTCTTCCTTGGGAATGTTGGAGGGATGAGTTACTGTCATCTGAATGAGAACTTCGGTTAAACCAGTCTAGGACTTTAGATATGGAATCATCAGTTGTCTTCCTTATCTCACTGACTTGTGAACCAGAGCATAAGGATGTCTTAGCCTCAAGAAGAGGGAGCTTACCTTGCTGATGGTCTCTAGAACTGTGATCCAATACCTGAGATGGCTCAGGCTTAACACAATGAGACAGTTCATCTGCAACACAGAAATGATTTTGTAAATAAGAGAATACTTAAGGAATTATTCAATCATTCACATTATTTTTTGAAAAAGGTACTTTGGTTTGCACTTGCTACACCACTCACTGTTTGTAGCAATATTTTTTCAGAGGTTGTGATATAAGCCATTCTAAGTGGGTATTTACAAAAGGGACTGTATAAAGACTCTATAAAGACAGGCAAATGTAGACCCCTGGAAGTAGTGTGTAGACCTTGTTAGGCCATTTCTTTGAAAGCCGTGGCTTCTTTTAAAAATTAATGTGGATCTTACATTCTGCTCCAAGTTATGCATTAAATATTAATTTTCTCCTGCCTTCAAATCTCTGTACAGACACACTCCAGGAAGATACAGCATGCTGATTCTATGCTTCCCCCATCCCCTGGCACATGACCTTAAACACTAATGGGGGCTTATTACCAAGTGTGAAAAGCACAACCTTAAGTGATTTCAGCAGTTAGTAAAACAACTTTTAAGTAAGACTGAACGATTCCTCCAGAACATGTAAATGAGGATATTTGCAAAGTTGGGTCTTATTCCTGATATAGGGAGCCAGAATTTCTGTACACAGAGCCAGAGATTGCTCATAAAGACTCTAGCTGTTCCTACTGTTTGCTTTGCACACTGGGGTTTTAGAACCCAGATTTGAACAGGCCCACCATTGTGCCCCATTTCCTTTCTACCTTTGTGTGTGTGTGTGTGTGTGTGTGTGTGTGTGTGTGTGTTAGCTATTTCTGTGAACCCAGTGAGTGAGCTAAACTGATGTAGAATGTGATCCCCTACTCTGCTTCCTGATGTCAGTCAACTTAAGGCTAGAAGGCTGGAGAAGGATATTTGCTCTTTTTTTTTTTTTTTGGTCCAGTCGTGGGGCCTGAACTCTGGGCCTGGGCGCTGTCCCTCAGGTCTTCAGCTCACGGCTAGTGCTCTACCACTTGAGCCACAGCACCACTTCCAGCTTTTTTCTTTTTGCTTATGTGGTGCTGAGGAATCGAACCCAGGGCCTCAGGCATGCAAGGCAAGCGCTCTATCACTGAGCCACTTCCCAGCCCCGATATTTGCTCTTTCTAAACCATCACAAAAGCAGAGTCCTTGCTGAGCCTGTCATATAAGATATCTGAATTCAGACATTTTGTTAACATCCATTAAGCATTTACTTCAGACTGTAGTTAAAACATGAATGTTTTAATAGTTCTCTCTTTTAAAGTGATATGCTATGCAACACAAGAACAGGGATGTTCCTAAAAATTGTGTGAATTTTATGAAGTCAGCCATATTTCAAATGCAACAAAACACATGTGAGTTCATGATATTTGATTTCTAATTTTAATAATCAATTCTGCCTAAGTATAAAATGACAAAGAGTTTGTAGGATAACTGACACATAGTTGCTACTTGTTTCCTTCTTTAAGGATATGGTTGTCTATTTGAGGATTGATGATGAAAAGAACTTATACACTATTATTGATTTAAAAAAGTCTAGGCAGGGGCTGGGAAGGTGGCTCAGTGGTAGAGCGCTTGCCTTGCATGCTCAAGGCCCTGGGTTCGATTCTTCAGCACTACATAAGCAAAAAAAAAGCTGGAAGTGGTGCTGTGGCTCAAGTGGTAGAGCGCTAGCCTTGAGCTGAAGAGCTGAGGGACAGCGCCCAGGCCCAGAGTTCAGGCCCCACCACCGGACCCCCCCCAAAAAAAGTCTAGGCAGTATAAATGCAATTTATAAATTATATGTATACCTATAGATTTTTGGAAGAATCTACAGTTAACTGTTAGTTATGGAAGTTCCTACATTAAAAATAAAAAAACTTTGTATCATTTTTTCTCAGTGTAAGATTCAGTGTGATATTAGCTTTCTTGCAGCTCAGAACTAAAGATAAACCCTTATGATTCATACCCTTAAAGTCTAGATTTTTGATCCTAATCATTTTTTGTTTGTTTGAGGTTTCTTGGTGCCAATATTAGGGCTTGAACTAAGGGCTTCACACACTAATCAGATTTCTTGCTCATAGCTGGCTCTGTACTACTTGAACTAGGCTTCCAGTCTTGCATTTTTTTCTTTTTTTTGGGGGGGGGTTCCAGTCGTGGGGCCTGAACTCTGGGCCTGGGTGCTGTCCCTCAGCTCTTCAGCTCAAGGCTTAGCGCTCTACCACTTGAGCCACAGCACCACTTCTGGCTTTTTGCTTATGTGGTGCTGAGGAATCGAACCCAGGGCCTCATGCATGCAAGGCAAGCACTCTACCACTGAGCCACCTTCCCAGCCCCAGTCTTGCATTTTTTTTTTGTGCTGGTCCCAGGGCTTGAACTCAGGGACTGGGAGCTGTCCTGAGCTTTTGTGCTCTAAGGCTAGCACTCTACCACTTGAGCCACAGCTCCATTTCTAGAATTTTACTACTTAATTGGAGACTTTCCTGCCCAAGCTTTGAACCATGATCCTCAGATCTCAACTTCCTGATTAGCTAGGGTTACAGGCATGAGTCACCAGCACCCAGCTAGCTACATTGGAGATGGAATCTTGTGGGCTTTCCTGCCTGAGCTGGCGTGGAACCTAAACCCTCTAAATCTCAGCCTCCTGAGTAGTAAGGTTTATAGATATGAGCCACTATTATCCAGCCCTATTTTTAAAAATATTCCAGTATTTACCTGTACACATCATTGTAAGAATTCCTCAAAGAGGAAAATAGGCATTAATGAATAAGCAAAATGTATTGGTAAGTTCTCTTGTAACAGAAGAGCTGTTAGCCAAATGAACTGTTTCAGCTGATGTTTCCTCCTAAATTTAACAATCAACTGAGATTTAAGTCATGCCAAAACACACCAGAGAGGATCATTAGCGATGGTAATTAGTAATTCTGAGGACTGAGGTATGATAATATTGTAAAATATGATTTAGAGCCATAGCTCTATACACCAACACTGCATTTGACAAGTGTTTCTAAAAATTAAAAATTTCCGGGAACAGCACCCTGTTAGCGGTTTCCATTAAATTTGCTCTCTGAATGAGACCATTTTGCCTGTTTTGTGAATGGGGTAGTCTGAGGAGTTGTCGAATTTTGGATTATGTTCGCTAGTTTAGAAGTAGCCAGTGGTTGAACTAGTGAGTAGATGAAAGAAAGTACAATGATCTTGTTTCTATGATAGATATTCTGTAAAAATCTGAAATGTTTCTTTCAGCTAGCTTGATGTGTCAATGCACAGACAAGTATTTTGCTTTTCCCACTGGCTATACTGTAATATTAAGTGGGGTGAAAAAAATAAAACTCTGCCCTTTGATTTATTCAAGGTTTTGGTTCAGAAGTTTTCTTTGTTGTTGTTTTTTGTTGTTGTTTTGTTTTTGTCAGTTGTAGAACCTGAACTCTGGGCCTGGGCGCTGTCCCTCAACTTTCAGCTCAAGCCTAGTGCTCTACCACTTGAGCCACAGTGCCACTTCCGGCTTTTTTTCCTGCTTATGTGGTGCTGAGGAATCGAACCCAGGGCCTCATGCATGCAAGATAAGCACTCTACCACTGAGCCACCTTCCCAGACTAGGTTCAGAAGTTTTTAAGCTGTGTTCCTGCCTACTCTGCAAATGCAGCTTTATAGTGGACATCCTCTTCAAAGGGGAAAGCTCCTTCTTATGTCTTATCACTTGACTTTCTTATGGCAGATCTTCACAAACCTTCAGACAGGATGGGCTGTACAGTACCCCCTTCCTCCAAATACAGGATCAGAAACCAACACTACCCCAGTCATGACGATCTAGGTTTAAAGCTGTAAATGTGGCCTCTAGTCCTATATTTGTGGTGTATACTTTTGTGTATTCATGTATAGGGAAGGGTCAGTTACTTGATGGTTTGGGGAGTCTATCTTGATGTTTGTGGAGGGGTGAATACTGCTAAGTCATCAACAGTTTTTCATTTAGGGTAAGTCATGTGCAAGTAGCCCATGAGCACAGTGAAGCAGCGAAGACACAAGCTTTCCTAGTGATAAAGCAAACAGGTTTTGTATCTATTTTTTTTATCAGATGTAAAATTTATGCATGAATTTTTTTGTTGTTTTTTAGTAACTGTCACGTAAGAAAAAGTCTCAGCTTTCTTGAGCAGCCTTTCAGAGGCACAGTGGCTCAGGAGTGAAAGTAGGCCTAACCTACTGAAAAGATCCTGTCCTTGATAATCTTCACCTATCCTGCAGTCCTCCCCACAGAGGAACCACATTGTTGTATTCTAGTAATTCACTGTGATTTATAATAAGCCAGTGGTGTCATTCTATTGTGCACTTTGTCAAACCTCTCACATGACTTTAATAAGCTTAGTAAATTTGCTGGCTACATCAGGGGTCTGCTAGTGATTGATACAGTGCATGATATTTTCCTTTTCAGTTTGACATGTAGAATCATTTTTTATGACAATTGACAGTCTTAATAGCTCAGTTAATTTGAAACTAACAATATAGTTATGTAAAAGGTAAAATGGTATTTGTGTTCAGTAAATGTTTTTTTTTTTTTTTTAAAAAACAGCCAGGCACCAGTGGCTTACACCTGTAATCCCAGCTACTCAGGAGGCTGAGATCTGATAGTTCAGATTGAAGTTCAAAGCCAGCCTGGGCAGGAAAGTCTGTGAGACTCTTATCTCCCATTGACTACCAGAAAATTGGAAGTGGAGCTGTGGCTCAAGTGGTAGAGCCCTCACCTTGAGTTGAAGAGCACAGGGACAGCATGCAAGCCCAGAGTTCAAGCCCCACAACCGACAAAAATAAAATAAAGTAAAATAAACAAACAAAAAAATCAGGCCATACAGAGGTAGGTATGGTGGTGTAATTCCAGCTACATGATTGGAAGAAAAAAACAAAGAGAGAATTGTGGTGCTAGTAAAGCCTAGGCAAAAATTCTACTACAACTTACAGCTAGCTTTCATGACTCATGGGACCTTGCATTCAAGCCCAACTTAAAAAAAAATCAACACAAAGACATAAATACACAATTATAGAGGCAGTCAGGAAAAAAAACAAGTGCTGTTTCAAAACAAGGAAAAGTTTGGAAATATTTTTCTATTACTTTTAACAAAGGGAAATATTACCAAAGAAGTTTCTTTTCATCCTTTGAATAGACCTTTTAGAAAATACTATGCAATTATTTGCTAATGTTTGATCAAGCATCAGTAATTTTCTTTAATATGAGTTCTCTTATTTCTGGAAGAAGTATTTGCTAATTTTCAACTTTTCAAAGGTTTGTTATGTTCAAATGATTTAAAATGTCCAAGAAGTAAAGGACACTTTGTCTTATAAGACATAGATGGATCTGAATATTCATGAAACTGTAGGACTGAGCAAAAGTAAAACAAGGTTCACCTAATCACCTAATACTAATAAGAAAGTAGAACAAAACTTGATTGTTTATATCCTAAATTTTCCCTGAATGTGTGTATGCGCACACGCATGCACACACATGTGCACACATGTGCATATCATGACATGGGAGGCTGGGGATGTACTTCTATATATGAACACTTGCCTAGCATGTGTAAGGACCTAGGTTTGGTCCTCTGTCTGTGTGTATGTATATGCATATATCCATATATATGCATATACATATACATATATGTACATATACATGTGTATATATATATATATATATATATATATACCATAGAGTTGTAGATTTATGGAACATGAGAGAGAGTATACAGCATTATTTTTTCCATTGCTTTTGTTTTTCTTTTAAATGTAAGAATGAGAAGGTAGTTTGAAGGGCTGGACATGTGGCTCAAGTGGCAAAGCATTTATCGACCAAGTTAAGATCCTGGTTTCAATCCCTAGTACAGACAGACAGACAGACAGAGACAGAAAGACATAGAGAAGCAGGAAAAGCAGTACCTTCACTTTTTCTCAACTCAGACCACCTGAGGGAGAAAGGGCCTTCAGAACTGTTAAAAAGTCAAAGAACAAATGGTTGGAGACACAACTGGCTGGAGAGCCTGGGCAGGCCAAAGTCTGGGGTTTTATCACGGCAAATACTCAAAGTCTAGTTTCCATTGTTTGAGGCAAGTAAGTAAAGGTTCTCTTGAGAACCAAAATGGTAATTCACATACTTACACTATTCATGAATTTACATTAAGTGAGTAATAATACATTTTACTCTTTCCAAAGCCATTCTCATTTCTATCACTCTTACTATATTTAGACACCTTCATTTAACTCACAACATTGTCATTTGCTTAAATAAGTGATAGGTTTACTCGTGTGGAGTTAAATAGAGCTCATATTAAACTAAGAGAGAAACTGTGCTGTCCTAGTTCTTTTTGTAATACTGGGGATGAATACTGGAAAAAGCCTCAGGACCCCTCTGTCTAAATTGTAGCTAGAATGTTGAGGAAGCAAAATTATTCTTCTATGGGGCTGACTAGTCTTGCCATTCCAAGCTTCCTAGATCTATTTTTGTAAGTTGGTAACAATGATTCTCTTACCAGCAGGGCTTTTGGAGAATTTTGATTCAAGCCTTGTTAATTCTTGGTGTTCACTGCTAGTGGGTGACTCCTCAATGGATTGTGCTTTTGGAGTCAGAACTTCTGAGTAAGAGTGCAATCCATTATTTGGACTAGAACCAGAAGGCAGCACTGGTGGTTGTGTTTCATTTTTTGTCACACTTGGACTTGATCTTGACTCATGAAAAGGTAAAAGCTTTCTGTGAGAGGACTTCAGGTCCTCCAGAAATCCATATGTGTCCTCTATCTCTCCTGTTCCATTCTTCAACTTGTCAGATTCTAAAACACTAAATTCTCCCACTTCCCTGCCATGAATGAGTCCAGAACTCTGGGGAAGTTCATCCTTTACTGCAGAGAATCTCACATGCTTTAATGGCTCCAGTGAGCATGAGGACGAATCATCTTCTAAAGACAGGTCCTTCTCAGAAATTCTCTCATGGATGGTTAGGCCAGGTGACACAATTTTGGTTCGAGGTTCAAAGGTGTGATTTAGGCGAAGAGTTTCTGAGTCTGTACTGCTGGAGCTAGAATTGCGTTTGAGAATCCCTCTTGGAACTGCTTTGGCATTCAAGGAGTCTGTCCTTTGTCTAGGAAAAGGCTGGTTATCATCTTGCTTAGAACCATTGGATTTGTAGATCAATTTTCTGGCTTTAGGGATTGGAGCTTTGCCTTGAGGCCCACTCACAGGCCCTTCTGGCATGGGATGCTTTGGCTTCTCTAACATTTGGCTTGAAATATCTTGAGTAAATGGCTTTTCTTTTGACTCAAACAATTCACCTGAAAATTAAAACATATGAGGTCACACTATATTAATTGGAGAGCAACTCTACAATCTAAAATCCTTATAAATTTAGCCTATATGTAGTTTAAAAATACTAAAATATTAAAGATAGTAAAGTAAGTAGCATAAATGCAGCCCTCATAAGAAAAGCCTTTAAAAAATCATACACTGGTATTAGAGGCATGGCTCAGGTGATAGAGTGTTAACCAGTGAGCATGTGTCAGATCAAGAGTTCAAATTCTGGTTTCAGATAGAAAGAAAATCATAAACGGAGGCATAGAGGACTTTTTAGGACAATGAAATGAATTTTTAGGATACTACAGTGGTAAACACATGTCACATCTTTTTCTAAACCCATGAAGAATATAACACCAATAGTGATCCTTTCTAGAAACTATTGACTTTGGTGACAGAGATGACAAAGGAGCTCATCAGTTACAATAAACATATTCAACTGTGATGTTAGTAATGGGAGAGACTATCCATGTGTGCAGATAAGAGTATACAGGGCAGTGGTACTCAGTAAATACCATGTAGAAAATGAACTATACAACTTGTCAGTGGGGATGGGAAGGGACAATGGGAGAGAGCAAAGGAAAAGGTGACACTGCCCAAAAAGAAATGTACTCATTACCTGACTTACATAACTGTAACCCTCTGTATATTACCTTTATAATAACAATAAAAAATTAAAAGAGTGAATATGGATAATGTGTATACTTTCTGCTTAGTAAGTGTTGTGAACCTACTGGTCTAAAAAATAAAGACCACTAAAAAAGTCTACTTAATTGCACTGCAGATAGATTGCACATTCAAGATTTCTGTGTTTGAAACTGATTGATGGTATACTTTAGGGAGGAGTAGCAATGGTATAACTCCTGTGAATAACTAGTGAACTGCTTAACAAAATGAATACCAGAAAACAGACACATGTTGGGCAGGGAACAATGATGCAGGGAATACAAATGAAGGGAGGAAAGGTGAGTAAATACAGTCATTATATTTAATGTTCATTGTAAGGGAAAATAGAATTGGAAGGGGGAAATGGAGGAGAATAGAACTGTAAACTCTTCGTACAACTACTTAATAATAAAATTGAAAAAAGAAAAATATTATTGTGTTTGGTTGGGCACTGGTGGCTTATGACTAACTCTAGCTACTTAGGCTCCTGAGATCTGAGGACCATGGTTCAAAGCTAGCCCAAGCAAAAAAGTCTGTGAGACTCTATCATGAACAGCAAAAAGTCAACTGGAGGTAGGGCTCAAGTGGTAGAACAAAAGAACAAAAGCCATGAATTTAAATTCAAAGGCCAGTATGGGCATACTTTGTATTTTAATTTACTTTGTAGAATTTTATACTCAATACAAAAAGTGTTTTTAAAAAACCTAAAAAGAGGGGCTGGGAAAGTGGCTCAGTGATAAAAGTGCTTGCCTCACATGCATGAGGCCCCGGGTTCAATTCCTCACCACCATATAAGCAGAAAAAGCCCGAAGTGGCTCTGTGGCTCAAGTGATAGAGTGCTAGCCTTGAGCTGAAGAGCTGAGGGGCAGTGCCCAGGCCCAAAGTTCAGGTCCCACGACTGAGCAAACAAAAACAAAAACAAACCAAAAAAACCTAAAAAGAAAATTTCTCAGTTAGGCACCAATGGCTTACGCCTGTAATCCTAGCTACTCCAGAAGCTGAGATCTGAGGCTTGCAGTTCAAAACCAGCCCAGGCAGGAAAGTCTGTGAAAGTCTTAATTCCTTAACCACTAAAAAGCTGAAAAGGTAGAGTGCTGGCCTTGAGTGAAAGCTCAGGGATAGTGCCCAGGCCTGACAAGCCCCAGGACTGGTGCGCGCACAGACAGACAGACAGACACACACACACACACACACACACACACACACACACTCACAGAGAAAAAAAGAGAGAGAGAGAGGAAGGGAGAGAGAGAGGGAGAGAGAGGGAGGGAGGGAGAGAGGGAGGGAAGGAAGGAGGGAGGGAGGGAGGAAGAGAAGGAAGGGAAGGAGAGAGAAATATTTATAAAAAATGCTTTAAAAAACACAGAAATCACTTTTAAAATTCATGCATTTGAATCCTAAAAGGCAACTCAATTTTTTAAAAAAGAAAATCTCAGTACCTAAGACAAAAAATTTTGTCAAAAAGTTAAAAACAAACAGGTAACCAGTTCCAGTGATTTTTTTTTTCCTACAAAATATTTTATGTACTATACAGTGTTCCCAATGGAAACTACATTAATGTTAAAACAGGCTAATTGAAACCCTTCACCATATTACTCAATTGTTCATTTTCTACCCCATGGCTACCTTCTCACAGTTCTTTTTAAAGAGATGAAATTATCTACTATTTCCTTTTAATAGTTTGTAAGAACTATAAAATTCCCTTAGAGGCAAACTAAAATCACTTAAGCTGTGAAATTGTTCTAGTGCTCCTGGGCAAATGTGCTGGTAATTACAAATTAGAAGATCTTTGTCAAGTAGCCTGTTCTTTTTGAGGCAAACTTTAAAAAAAAAATTTCTTTCAACCTCTGTTAATTTTAAACAGACAACTGTGTTAGTATGTGGTATGCATCCAACAAGTACTATTAAGACTTTGGTTAAGACAGGCTTTGGTTAAAAAACTTCCTGATTCACTGCTGAAGGATCTCAAGGCACGGAGGTCACAAAGCAAGTAGCAGCTCCGAGATTTGGAAGACATGAAGATCCAGTTTCTAACATTTCTCTTTTCCCAATGGGCACAGAAGGATAAGAAAAGCATCAGGACTTTTCACTTTCTCCGAGAAGTTATTTTAGTGAAAAGAACTCTGACAATTTCCCTCATCCACAGATAACAACCATAAAAATATGTAGTCCGTAAAAATAATATTTACCCTCTTTTGAAATCTGAAATAAACCAGCTCTTCCATTTTTTGACTGCTCATTTTTGGTTTGTTGAGATAAGTGATCTTCTGGCAACTTAGAGTTATTAAATGGATTCTTCCTTTGCTGGGAAAAAATATTGTTTATTAAACAGTTTAAATGTCATAACAACAACTCAGCATTAGCATATGCTTATCATTTCTTCTATTTGCTAGATTACCCAGTCAATTCTATCATCTGGCACATTTGAAAAACAAAAACTGATTAATCTGGTTAGCACACAATTATCACACAACTCTTAAGAAGTTCAGAAACAGGAATTCAAATCAAAATTTCACTTTTTACAAGTGAGGACAGAATGTCTCCCTGAATATGTCAAGTCAAGGTCAAGGCAAGCCTGGGCCTCTACAAATCAGGTCAGATTCCTACCAGGGCTCTTTCTACCACACCAGGCACTATGCTAGATTATAATAGTCTGCAATTTGTGATTGACTTTTTATTAAGGATTTAGGAGACTCTTCAGTTATCTTGTAGTACTTCTTAGACATTATTACGGTCAATTCTAATAATAGAAAGAGAACCAGCAGAGTATAGGCTTTTGTTTTGCTTGTGGTGCTTGAGTTTAAACTCAGTGCCCAGTAAGCTGAAGAAAAATGCCCTGCTACTTGAGTCAGACCCTTTGCCCTTGTTTTGCTGATCTTGGAATCCTCCCATCTCTGCTTGCTTCCCCAGTGTTAAGATCAACCACATGTGAATAACTATGACCAATCCAAGGTGTTTCTTTCTTTCTTTTTTTTTTTTAAATTATCTTTAAGTAGCTATAGAAAGGAGTTGTCTTTTAACAAAGCAGTATAGGAATACAATGCATCATGATCAATGTTACCCCTTTCAACATTTTTTTTTTTTTGGAGCCAGGGTCTGGCTATCTAGCCCAGGCTGACCTCAAATTTATCATTCTCCTGCCTTAAGGGATTTTTTTTTTAGAATAGTATGACTAAATATCCCTTCAAAATGCCTATGATCTCATAAATTGGTGAATTCCTCACAGAAGCAGACATCTAACAGAAATATCTAACAGAAATTCAGAAAGCCACATTACATGTGCTTAATTTTTTTTTTTTTTGTTCAGTCATGGGGCCTGAACTCTGGGCCTAGGCGCTGTCCCTCAGCTCTTCAGCTCAAGGCTAGCGCTCTACCACTTGAGCCACAGAGCCACTTCCAGCTTTTTTCTTTTTGCTTATGTGGTGCTGAGGAATCGAACCCAGGGCCTCATGCATGCAAGGCAAGCACTCTACCACTGAGCCACCTTCCCAGCCCCACATGTGCTTAAATTTAATTTAACCCCACCAAATAGCTTCTGATGTTTTACTCTCTTGGGCAAGAAATCTGGGCCTTCAGCAACGAACATAGTCTTCATCAGTTTTCTTTTGGTGGTAAAAAAATACTGTCTTATAGTAACTAATTATCAATAGCTAGTATCACAAAAACTAACACAAAGTTCTCTACATGTCTTGGTGCTTGAATAAGATGAAGAAACAAAAGACATTCCCATTTAAGATAAGAGTTTTGCAGTGTAGCATATCTACCTTGGCTGGAGAAATGGTGGATTCCCTTGTGTTTTCCTGGTATACATCAATGGCAGTGGAGGCTGGACTCATTACACGGGAACTGCAAAAGAAACCATTCAGAAAATACCATCTCATCCCTTGAGAAGCATCAATCAAGCCTCATAAAGCAAGCCTTCAAAAGCTTTAGTGTATGACGGGAAAGAAAGTCTGTAAAAATGGAACTGCCAGGAAGAGAAAAGGAGTTAGGGCCTAGAAAAATTAAGCACCAAAAACAAAGGAAATGGCAGAACAGAAAAGATAAGCATGAGAAAAAGAAAAGGAAAAAAACAAAAACAAGAAACACCCCTTTGGAGCCTTGATGCTATGACCAGAGTGCATAGCACATCAGAGGTTTACAATTTAAATTTCAGAAATTCATCTCAAAGTCAACTGCTAAGATCAAATGCAGGCCAAAAAAGTGAGTATTTGATTAAAGAAATAAAACCCCACAGAGGGTCCAATTCCATAAGGCAAGGCAAGGCAAAAATGGCAGCACTTACTCAACTCAGGCAGGAAGTAACCAATGAAAAAGCTCAAGTGTGACCAATGACTTGGTAAAGGGACAGAAAGCAGATCAGAGATACATTACAAAAAAGATGGTGGTGGGGCAACTTCCTGGGACTTTTCAACCCTGCTGAGTTCTTATTCAAATACAGAACAATGACAAAAAGAGCTTCTGGAGGATTGTGGGAAAGCTTGGGACCCCAGAGCTAGCCTAGTGTGGTAGAGTCTCTAGACTTGCCTTGGGTGGCTCCAGGGGAAAAGTAAAACCACAGTGAATGGAGAAAGATGATTTCAGCAGGCCCTTTCCCAAGGAACTACTCCCTTTAAGAGGAAGAAGGGCAGGAGAGGGTCATAGAGGCCCTGGAGGGGAGGAAAAGGAACCTGCTCATCAGACTGCCTACTCTAAAGCCTTGCCTCAGGCCCAAGAGATGAAGTCACTGTTGGCTGAAACCTCTGTTCCGGTTAAATACCATCAGTCTCAGTGACTTCAGTCTAGAGTTTGGAAAATACTTGGGAAGGTGCTGGCTTTTCCTCACATTGGCAGAGGAAACAAAGAAAGCTGGGGAAAGGAAGCAGTGTTCTCCAAGGTCATGGAACGGTGCCCAAGATTATTGTCACTAAATTCAACATGTTCCTGCAGCTGCATTTCTCCCCCTTACTTTGTATATTAACTGCTGCTTTTGTACAGTTAGTCCCGGGAAACAGCTGAACTCTTAAGGAAGCCATTCTTTCTTTCATTGCCCTCTTCATTGTTTTTAGCAAGGAGTTAATTTTAGCAGATGAGGTATGAAATATAGCCTGATCATCTGGAAGCAAAAATAGGAGGATGGAAGGAGGGAGCTGAGAACACAGAGGAAATTAAAATGGAGCCAAAATTTGGACAGAAAGATAGAATAAGGAGTCCTCTATGCCTGCAATAGGTGGGCATAAACTTATGTTATCTTGAGACAGAGGGGAGAAAAGAAATGGTCATCGATAGAATTCAGATGCCCTAGTCAATAGCTCAGAACTAAAAAGTAATTTCTCTCAGTTGTCATTTTACAAAGCCAGTGGGTAATAATGGAGAACATCCTGATAGAAGATGTTATGTTCAGTTTCTCAGAAGGTTTTGTTTCATCTCCCTTAGTAAATAAAACATTAAGACTTGAGCAAAATACCACTGACTAGGGTCTCCATGTAACATCCATATCCTCCTGCCATCTTTTTCCTCTGTCTTTCTGTCACTCTAACCCTAAAGGATAGGCAACACTTCTATGGTCTTCTCCCTATGTTCCCTAGAAATCAATTCCTGTTCCCTTTGATGCCAGCTTCAGTTGTCCATGTTGCATATGATTTTGATACTTCTTAAAGGTGAAACCAGTCTTCCCCTTACTGAACTCTGCTCAGCAGTGTATTTCATGCCTATTAAGTGATTCCTAGTCCCTGTGCCTGTTTTATCACTCAAGATAAACTGGAAGGTTTCTCCAGAGACTCTCCATCACTGTCATACACAGTTTCTTGTACAGCGCCAGGTACATAACTGGTGAGACTAAATGAATGAAAGTCAACTGATCCATTGCCAGGAAATATAGCAGCAGGCAGGTGGTTGAGTTTTGTTTCATTTTGTTTTGAATCCATAATGTTTGCCAAACTACAATGGGGGCAGATTATTCAGATGTTAAGCAAAATGTCTTCCAGCTATTCAGAAAAAAAGAAAGAAAAAACAACACAGTCAGAACTTAAGGGCAGTCACTAAAATCAGAAATGGCTCAGTATCATTGGTTACCTTGTGCTTGGGGTAGGAAGGAAATGATTTAAAGGTGGGAAAGTTGGTTAGTAAAATTCACAGTCAGCCTTGAAAATATTAAACCAATCTCTGTCCCAAAATGTAGCTACTTCTTAGTAGCTTTGCTTCTCTCAAGGAATATTATGATGCTTTGCTTGCCTATTATCAAAGGGTCAACAATTACTGCAGCATCCATCCTACTCCAGATTGCTTGCTCTTGCAACATTTATGAGGTGTGTATCATTCTCCCAATTTTACTTCTAGGAAAACCCTGGCTTGGAGAAGTAAAATAACTTGCTCAATATAACAAAATTCATTAGTGAAAGTGACTCTCACTATATCCAAAGCCAAAGGCAAAAATGGTAAGGGCCTGACTATACTGGCTCTGACTTCTTGTATTGTTGCAACAGTGGTTTATGACAAAAAGACTGGAGACAAGTCCAAGCGATGTTTCCTTACCAGTGACTCTCACATCTGCATCTCTTCTTTCTCCTTAGTAACACTGATTTCTGTCAACTTTCATATCTGGCTTCCTGAAAGTTCCAGTCCCCTAATCCATTTTCAACTGCTAAACTAGAATAGTTCAGGGGCTGTGAACGTGCCTGAGTGGTAGAGTACTCACTTAGCATGCATGAAGCCCCAGGTTCGATTCCTCAGTTCCACATAAACAGAAAAAGCCAGTAGAGCGGTGGCTCAAGTGGTAGAACACTAGCCTTGAGCAAAAGAAGTTCAGGGACAGCAACTGGACCCTGAGTTCAAGCCCCAGGACTGGCAAAACAACAACAACAACAACAAAAAAAAACCTGAATAGTTCAAAACCTAACTTGAGCCACATCCTCTTTCTACCCACTAACTTTCCCTGAGGCTTTAAGGTCTGTGGAATGAAGTCTGAACTCTGCAGAAAGGCACATCTGTCCCAGTAACTTCCTACTCCTTTCTGTTAAGCCTTCATATTATATGATGTATCTATTTCCACTCCCAGTAATTCACTGACTTTTTGCTTGTTCTACTTGACCTATTTCCCAGCCCTTCTCCCTGCCTAAATCATTCCTATTATCTTCAAACCCAATCCAAGTCTCACCTTGTACACCATACTGATGGAAATGAATCTTTTTTTGTCTTATTATGACATGTTTTGTTGGCACTTTGAATTATGAATTTGTTTTCTGACTAGAACTGTTTGCTGTAATATGGTCAGATTTATGTGTGTGTGTGTGTGTATATGTGTATGTGTACTTTTCCTTAGAGAATATACTACTCTTTTTATGGCTAAATACTATGTTCTTTGTTTCTTAGAATTCTTCCTAAAGGGGAGTAGACTGTGTCCAAATATAATCAATGCATGCCACATGATGAGATTTTTAAACTATGAAGTAAGCACAATTCCATACCTAGTGCTTTGTAACTTCCTTCCCTCAAGCACTTTTCAAAAAGGGCCTATGATATTAGAAGTAGCATGGACAAAATTAGTTTACTTCATTAAAAAATTATTAAAATATTAGACAGTGATCCTGCTTATGGAACAAAAATGTCTTCAAGTATTTATTTTGGAATCTGTGGTTGTTCTCACCTTATTCCAACACCCTGTACCTAGTGCTATCACACAACAAATGAAAAAATGGCTTGGGGATGAATAAAGGAAGCAAATTAAAACATAAACTATGTCAAGTCAGTATTGTTTTCTTTTTTGTGCTGGTACTGGGGCTTAAACTCAGACCTTGTGCTCTCACATGATTTTTTTACTCAAGGTTGGCTTGAGCTACAGCTCTGTTTCTTCAAGTAATTGTTTTTTGTTGTTGTTGTTGTTGCTGTTGTTATTTGCTGGTTCTGGGGCTTTAACTTAGGGCCTAAATGCTGTCCCTGAGCTTTATTGTTCAAGGCTAGTATTTTATCACTGGAGCTACAGTTCCATTTCTAGCTTTGTGTGTGTGTGTGTGTGTGTGGTTAATTGGAGAAAAAAAGTCTCACAGACTTTCCTCCCTGGGCTAGTTTTGAACCATGATCCTCAGATTTTAGCCTCTTGAGTTGGTTGTATTATAGGCATAAGTCACCAGTGCCCAGTATGTCAGTATTGTTTTTTATTTATGGCCATTATTTTTACTCATGGGCAGTCCAGGGCTACCACAGTTCATGCTATACATCTGTCAAACTCAAACAAGCACTCCCATCCAAGTATGGGACATTTTGATGGCACTATGAAACTATTCCTACTACAACTGGTTTGAGGAAATCTGAAATGTAGTAAGATTCAATATTCACTTAAGAGCTCCATCTAAATGATTATCTGAGCCAGGTCTCCTAAAAAGTGAAATCTTCAAATGGATTTGCTATCTACCTTGGGGGGGAAATACCAAATGCACTGTTTTGTCAAATTGACTCATCTGTACTCTGCCTTTGAGTACAAACTACTAGTCCCTTTTACTGGTCTTATTACTGGGAGTAAAACAAGTAGCTAATTCTTCTGCTAGAAGACAGACATAAATAATCTTTTTAATGTATAAAAATGAGCATTATTGGTAAAGGAGTATTATTGGAGAGCTAAAGTTGTGAATTGATTGATTCTCATTCAACAGAGATAAGAAGGAGATTGGTGGCTTAAGTATCACCAAAACACAGACAAATGAAGTTCTGATTAGCATTTTGATTCACTACACTGACTTACAAAATAATGTTTGGTTCTATCCAAACAAAGCTAGAAGGAAATGTACAGTTTTGCTCACAAGGAAATACCTCATCTTCCTACCATTTCACAGGCAAGTGACCAGAAGAAAACCAGCCAAGTCCAAGTTCAA